CTAAATTGTGAAGGAAATTAAAATTAGAAAATACAGCTTATTAGTGGTCAGAAAATTACAAAAACATCAAACTGAATTCCATGCTCAAATTCATTTACAATTTTTAAACTCTAGATAATATGAAAAAATATGTAAATCAGAAATATTAAAATTTCATAGTTGAGACTTCCATATAATACTGTAGGATGAAAATGTAGCTGAAAATTCTTATCCTTTAGATTATTTCTGAGTCTTTATTGCCAGGATGTTTTATTAGAATCTCAAAAAAGGTTATTGAAATGTATATCAATTCTCTAGGTAATCAGAATAAAGAATCAAAGTTTATTTTGTAAAGCTAGTATCATCCCAATAAGGAAATATATCAAATATGCCACACATTAAGAACAGACTCACTTATGAATATGGATGTAAAATCTTAAGTGAAATACTTGCAGCAGCAACTTAGTGGACACAATAGACCATAACCAGGCAGAGTTCATTTGATGAATTTAAAGCAGTTTAATATTAATACAATACAAATTTCCAATTGGTCAAGTGGGAGAAATCTGTAACACCACCTTTATTGATGTTAAGAAAATATTTTCTGTAGTCAACATTTGTCTACATTTTTAAGAAAATTTAAGTCTTATATTGGACATATATTTTGAGTTGATAATTGGGTAACATTAAGTACAGATAATGAAAGGCAATTTATAGATGCCATTTATAGTTTACATATAGTTTACATGAATAGAGATGGAAAACCTACAATGAAAAAATTAGCAACATATACTTTTATCATTCATAATGATTCATCTATACATTGTGGCTATTGTATGGTGAAACTACATTTTTTTTTAATCCAATATAAAGTTTACTGTACCACATAATAGCTTTGTATCTATCAGAAAATCTCCCCATCTCCCCATAAACTTCTCAATCAGTAAGTTGATAGTTATAATTACTTCCTCATTCATGTTTTTGCAAGTAAATTCTTTTATCCAAAAAATTTTGAGGTAAACTATGAAATAAAAAAAGCAATATATGAGTAGAAAACTTTCAGTGTTGGGATTTATATATAACATAACAGACTGTAAATAAAGATACCAATTAATATCTTACAAAATCAACTGTTTACTAATAACAATATTAAAAAATGATGAACATTTTGTTTGTATAACAAATAAATTCTTTATTTGCATTGAATGACAAAATAACATTGTGTACCAATATCATTGTTCAATAAAACATGAAAATATAAAATTTTAAGTCATATTTATTGTATTATTAAATCATAGTCTATATTGTACTTGGCTGAACTATGGGACAGAAGGACCTTAAGAACCAAGAGTGTAGCATCCGAAGTCCTTGCCTTTTCCATGAGCAACTGGCATTTAGTGGCTACTAGGGAAGGGTGTCACTTTCTTCATTGGTATAGTCACTGGTTAAATTTCCCATGATTATGTATGCAAACATACTTAAATTCAGTGGTTCTTGCAGAAAGGGCATGCAGTTAAGAAGGGATTTGTCAGGAAGAGGTTCAGTGGGCGCATGAGGGGATTAGAGAGGGTACTGGGGGACAAAGCCATCAAAATGAACTATATTGAAGCTTCTTCTTTCAAGGAGATGGAGATCCTTACAGACAAAGTGATTGGCAGCTGATCTTTTTTGGTTACCAAAATGTGCAGTTCAACCCCTAAGGCTTAGAGAACATCTCAGTGGATCAGGAGAGAATGTTTGCATTAAGACAGTGTGTTCTGTAAGAAATAGTGAGGCTGCTATCATGAAATATCAAAAATAGTCACCAACAAGGCTATCACAATAGTATTGGTTGCCATACTAACATGGATGAAGAAAATCTCATAAGGTGCTACTCTTCGTTGAAGACCTACAGGCTGGTGAGAAAGGCAGAATCAATATCCATGGATGAGTCTCTTGTAGGTTATCCAGTCTTAAGTAGTGAGCATTAACGAATACAGGAGCAACACTAATTATATATTAGTAAGCTTTAATATATATATATATATATATATATATATATATATATATATAATCACATATATAATACTTAAAGAAGAAAGTGTGAACCTGAGATGGAGTCAATAGACATGGAAGAGGGAATAATGAAAAAGATGTAAGTATAATACTTCTGTATGAAATCTTAAAAAGTTAAAAAATGTGTCATATACCTGTATTAAGCTATTGAAAAATTATATGATAACATGAAATAAGTAAACGAAACCCACAGAAAGCCTAATGTTCACATTTAACAACAATTTGATTAGAACACTTGACACTTCACCAATTCAAAAGTTATTACTAAAGTTATTATTTATAAAAAGGAAATTGTGAAATGTGTTTACTGATTTAAAGATGAAGAATGGCACAGGTTGGAGCTTTTAACTGAGTGCCTGGTGTGTGCTCCAGAAAATGTTGCTTATAATGAGAGAAATGCTGAAAAATTAATGTATTTAAATTTCATCATGCTCTCATCTTCCCTGGAATGTGTAGTAGTCCAAACAATTTCTGTAATTGAAAACTACTAGGAACCTTTTAAATGCTTCCACGATTGCCTGTTATGAATAATATTGTGTTATTACAACAAATTAAGGAGGCACAGGGTTTCCAGTTTAAAAATGATATATGAAATGAAAGCTTAGCAAATAATTTTCTCTTCTTTTAAATTATCTATCAATGGTAATTATTTTACAGATAACAAATTGAACTATGAGCCGCAGATTTTTTGAATGTTATAACTATTTGAATAATAATATATAATCTTCTGACTCCTACATTTTCCTAGTGTTTATGTTTATATTGTCCAACGAATTAAACATTTGGGGACGTTACATCCACACTGTCTTAGTTAGGGTTGCTGCTTCTGTGATGAAACACTGTGACCCAATGAAACTTGGTAAGGAAAGAGTTTACTTCATCTTAAAACTCTCACATTTCTTTGCTGAGGGAAGTCAGGGCAATAAATGAAGGCAGGAACCTTGCAACAGGCACTTCAGCAAAGGCCACAGAGGAATTCTACTTTCTGGATTTCTCGTCATTACTTGTTCAGCCTGCTTTTTCTATTGTAACTAGGACTAGCAGCCCAAGGGTGTCACAGTCTGCAGTAAGCTAGGGTCTCACACATCAATCATCAATTAAAAATTATACCACAGAATTGGTAGCAGGTCAGTCTGGTAGGACTAGTTTCTCAATTGAGGCCCCCTCTCCAAAAGTGACTCTAGCTTGTGTCAAGTAGACAAAAGTAGTCAACCTGACATGCAGACACATCGCTAGTCAAAAAGGACATGTCTTTTTCTGACATGGCATGCCAATATCAATGTCTCAGTATAAAACATAAATAACTTAAAAGTCCCACATTCTATAAAATTTCAGGCTCTTTAAAACATTCAATCTCTTTTAAAATCCAAACTTGTCTAAAAATATCCATAATCTCTCTATATCTCCAAAGACTCTTAATAAGTTCAAGGTTTTCTAACTGGGGGCACTTGTTAAAAAAAAATAATCAGGCAAAATGTGGTAATATATTGTTTGTGATCCAATAAAGCCTGCTGGAGGTCAGAATGCAAAGTGAGCCACAGCCATAGAGGCCAGGTAATCGTGGCATACACCATAATAGTTACCAATAGAAGCTGGTCAGTGGTAGTGTACACCTTTAATCCCAGAACTAGAGAGGTATATAAGAGGTATATAAGCAGGGTCTTAGGCCTGGTATTTAGTGCCGGGGCAATTAGTCTCTAGCTGTTGAAGACAGGATCTCCCCAGCCTTGCTAGAGGTAAAAGCTCTGCAGTGATTGGCTGCTTTGCTTTTCTGATCTTCAGCTTGAACCCCGATACCTGTCTCTGGATTTGTATTATTTCTGTTACACACAATTGAGAACAAAACCATGTGAAAGTGTTAAAAATCAAATAAACCTCAGCAACTTTCCCAGAGTAGAGCAACTCTACCTTGACCTCCGAATTACAGAGTTCCACCCTGTTCCAAGGAATTAAAAAAAAAACAAACAAACAAACAAAAAAAAAAGTCCCTAGACCACTTTCATGAAAAGTGAAAAGATCAAGGTATAACCCCCCAAACCATAGAATGTTCCCTCCCCATGACAACCAATAAAAATATGTAAAGTAACAGGCTGTGTTGCCAAAAATATGAATTCCCCTAGCCACCATGTCAATGAATCTAAAGGTCACCTACCTCTTACCTAATCCTGAACAGCCCAAGCATTTACCACCTTGCTTGCAGTTTTTTTTTTTTCCTTTAAAACCCCCTTGCAATTAAGGCCAGGCACCCTTTTCCTGCAGCTGCTGTACCAGTTTGCTGGAAAGGGTCCCTGCTGAGGCTTGTAACTTAACATTAAACCTTATGCATTTACATCAGTGAGTTGGTCTTTTTTTGGGGGGGTCTCATGAATTTGGCATAACACCTGGCATTTGCAAAAAAATTGATGGAACTGAAGATGAGTATGTTAAGTAAAGCTAGTCAAACTCAGAAATACAAATATCATGAACCAAATCATGTGTGGAATTTAGAGGTCATGTGTACCTATCCAAGTCTTATACACCTGTATAGACACACACACACACACACACACACACACACACACACACACACACACACACGAATAAATACATGTATAGACATATCCATTTATATATGCCTTCAGGCAATTAGAAGGAATACTATTTAGGAAAAGGACCAATGAATGGGAGGGAGATCAATGCAAGAGATGGTAATGGAAGGTGATTTTTTTCCAATATACATGATACACTTCCATAAAAATGTCATCGAGAAACACATATCTTTATACAACAAATATCCACCAATAAAAAAATATAAATTTTTTAACTAATGACAATATAAGCAATCTGTTCAGCTGCCAAATCTGTTTTGTTATCCAACAAGAGAAAACTAATGCAGGTAAGAAATTGTCTGGTATTCAGTCATTGACAAAATTTACTACTTTTAGCTTAAAACCATTTTCTGATTTTTCAAAATATTAAAAACTCACTGTTTTCAGCAAATTTGACACTTCATTTGTTGTGCTCTGTGTTTCTCTCAGCATCTCAGTCATTGTCTCCTCATCCTCTTCAATGTGTATGTTCACAGACTCAATTGAGGTTGAGTAGTGAGCCTGCAGAGTTTTCAGCTTACCTAGCTCCTTCCTAAGAGAAAAAGAAAGATGATTTTTACTCACATTGAAAAGAAAATTATCCTCTAACTTATTATGAGTCAGTGGAATATATTTAAAAATGCTCATATCCCACAGCAGTTCCAAATCCCTAAAGGGTCTCAGATATTAGGTAAAGAGTGAGAACTAGCATCTATGTTTCCAAATGAAAAGAATAGAGAGAAAAGTTATGCATGTATTATTTGACTTTTGGGGGGATTATTTTGGATTATCTTGCAGGAGAAGTTGGGAAATAAAGTGATGAAAAGTCACTAGGCATTTAAATATCACCATTTTCACATCTGCTAAGCCAGAAGAATCAGGAGAATAAAATAGGCAGAGTCACACTCTCTCTTTTGTCAAGAACTATCATGTGAGTACGTTGATAAAATAGGGGGGTGGTATTGACAATGCTTGGCATGTAGAGCAATGGACCAGAACCCTGTACACATGAGAAGATCCATGAAAATATGACTGGATGATTCTTGACCATGTTTCATAAAACAGCATGCCAGTCAAAGTAGTATGACACAGGGTGCCAGGCTATATGGATGATGCTCAAGGGAAAAATTAATGAAGAAGGAAAAAATAGACAAATCTGACTAAATCTCATGTACACATTCACTGAATGCATCTAAGTGTAACATGTAAAACTATATCCATATTTAAAAGAAAATACTCTGTGAATTGAGCATTAGGACAAGGGGTTTTCCATGGTACTATGCCTATTTAAAAAAGGAACTGGAAAATTAAATTCTAACAAACCTTAAAACTTTTCCATGACAAAAATATCCCCATAATGGGATCAAAAGACAAACCTTTCATTAACCATACAATGTTTGCAATTTACATATCTAATTAAAAAAATAAACTTGTGTTCTCTATAAAGACAGAATTATCTACAGCAGCCAGGAGAAACACCTGATCAGATACTTAATAAAATAAAATATTCAATAACATATAAGCACAAAACCTGCAAAAGAAAGGTCAACAAAAACTTCAGTGCTGCAAATGTGCTAGAGGGACTGAACTATTTTTTTTTCTTTAAAAAAGCAATCTCAGGTAGTAGCATAGACCAGGAACACCAACATACCACCACAGAAAAAAAGAAAAAAGAAAACAGAAACAGTCCATATAAGAAGCGACTAAAGAGAGCCCTTCAAATTTTTGAAAAAGATGCAAAGTGTAGCTGTTCACAGTTGATGGCTTGTGGTGTGAGTATGTGTGTGTGTGGTGACTCAATAATCTTCAAGGGACTGGCTATTGGGGTTTGACCATGCTTCAATGAGTATATTGCAACACGAATTGGACTTGGTGTATATATATATTTTTTTCCTTTTGGGAGTAGGCCGCCAGGGTAGAAGGTTGGACCAGAAAGAATGGGAAGGGACCATGATTGGGGTGCATCATATGAAATTTCTAAATAATTAATAAAAATATTACATTGAGAGGAATGGATGATCTCTTCTTACTGAATGTCAAATCGTCTCTCCACACCCTGGATCTAGTTCATGATTTCTACTAAAACTAAACACATTCTTAATACACAGTCTGGCAAACATATTCAGAGACAGGCATTCCAGAAAAATTAATAATCACACATTATACATTAAGTCCTAAAGTAATTTTGACTAGACTCACAATAAACCAGAACTAACCAAATGCCACCCCTTCCCCAAGTGTGGTTGGTTAAACACAGCCAGCATTTCTACTACACAAGGTCCCACATAGTCATAAATTCCAAGGCCTTTGAACACACCTGCTAAGCTGGATTAATCTCAATGTCATTACATTTAATTTAAAGAAAGGAAATAGAATCCAAAGGTTTATGTTCCATGATGCACTTGTATAACATGCCCAAAAGACAAAGCTCTGAAGATGAGAAAGAGCAGGAAAGCAAGCATCAAGGGAGAGAAGGAGGTGAATGATTCTATATTTGGTTTCGTGGAGTAGATATTGAATTCACACACAAGAAGAGGTTACATATAACTATATATGCAATCCCCCCCACACAAGCTAATGAGTCCATGTAAAAACATGGTAAAAACATAACAAGGCCTGTTTCCTTGTGTGATACCATTAATTGTTAAGCTCCACTCCAAGATCTTCCCATGGGAGAAACCTGGGGAAGGGAATTAAGAAATTGTTTGGTTTATGTCCAGTTTGTCTATAATTATTTGTAAAGAAAAATAAAATAAAGAAGGCAAAGATTTTGGGGGAAAGCACAGCATAATTTAGCATGACCAGAACAGAAAACAAGACTTCATCATATTTATTAAGAAATATTATTATTCATATGTTATTGAACAGCGTTTGGCTCCCAAATACACACAGAAGCCCCAAATACACACAGAAGCCCAGGCAAAGGAGGTATTGGCAAAGGAAGCCTTGAAAGATAGGAAAATAGCAGACGTTTTATGCATATTATATCACCAAAATATCAGCATTTAATAACCAGGAAAGCATCAGGCAACAAAAATGACATTGACTTTCATTTTATTAGTTAGGTGGTTGGGGAAGGGGTTCCTGTCTCCTCCTCTTTATATTCCTTTCTTTGCCTATCCATATAACTCCTGTCTCTACTTACCTAGTGTGGGGATTAAAGGCATGTGATCCCAATTGTTAGGAGCAAAGGAATGAGCTCTGTTCCACTTCACTCTTGTGTAGCTCAGAGAGATCTATCTGCCTGTCTCCTGATTCCTGGGAATAAAGGTGTGTGCCGCCATGGCCTGGCTCTATGGCTTTCTAGTATGACTGCTAGGATTAACATGTATATCACCATTGCTCTATGGCTTGTGACTAGCTTCACTTTCTGAACCCTTAGGAAAGCTTTAATAAATCATGCATAATATATCACCACAGGTAGGGTTTGTGTTGTGTGTTTGATGCATATGTGTTCATGAATATTTGCATATGTGTGTGGATGCACACACTCATGTGGAGGCCAGAGGAGGACATCTGGTGTCTTTCTCGGTTACATTTAGTCGTAATGCCTTGAGACAGATTTCATTGAAAGGGCAGCTATCTTGGTTTTTGGCTTGGTTGTCTGCCTTCTCAGTGCTGGGACTGTATACATTAACTGTCACTCCCATGTTTTTATTTAAGATTTTGGGGATTTGAATACAGGACCTCATGTTTGCAGAGGAAGTCCTCCTACCCAGTGAACCATCTCCCCAACCCCTTTGTCACATGATAGAATTGTGTAATGTTGTATCAATATTTAACTTAAAAAGTAGCACAAATCAGTAATAATATTATTTTGTTCCTCTAACATTGTCTTGTAATCTTTTGGAAGCACAGATTCATATTCAATATGTCTGGGCTAAACATGAGATTATAAATGCTGAACATAAGAAGCAATGAAACTGTGCATTGTGCAGGATAGTTTTTTGTCAACTTGTCACAGCTAGAGTAATTTTGGAAGAAGGAACATCAATTGAGACAATGTGCTCACCAGAATCACCCATGAGCAACTCTGTGGTATTGTTTTGTTTTGATGATTGATGATTGATATGTTATGGTTCAATTTACAGTGGTCAGTGCCATCCCTGGGCTAGTGGACTCTGTTTCTATAAGTAAGTAGGCTAAACAAGCTAGTAAATAATATTTCTCTGCATCAGCTTCTGCCTCAAAGTTCCTGCCTTGACTTTTATGGATGATGGAATACAAACTTTAAGATGAAATAAGCCCCCTTTCCCTAAATTGCTTTTACCTATGGCGTTTTATCATGGAAATAGATGACCTAACCAAGACAGCAAGACATATTTACTTTAGAAATTAGTACCAGAAGATAAAAATCTCAGTTATTAATAAGCAAGCATTTAAAATATTGTTCTCTTGTTAAGAAAATAATTATAAGTTAAAAAATTAATTCCTACATGTATACTTGTTGCATTGATTTATAATGTATGATATCTCCTTTTTTAAAAGTAAGGCAGTCACAGGGGACAGGGATATACATTGGTATTTCTCATGAATTTGGTTATACACATGACAATTTTTAAATAGAGATGCACTAATTTGCAGATTTACATAAATTTGTATATTAATATTTAAATTTCAATTGTCATAAATTTAGTGATAATATAGGTACAAGCAACTTAAATTCTGTGTGAAAGTTTTTGAGCACTGATATTTGTAACAGTTTTGTTTAACATTTCATTTCTAGATGCTATGAATTGTATTTACGGTAGATTCTTACTTGTAGGATTCTACATTTATTTCCTCTTGGTATAGGTCTTTTTCATCATCTTCTTTCATTTGCTCGAACCTTGATTTTGCAATTTCATACTGTTCTACGGAAACTTTAAGCTCATCCTGAACGTCTCTAAATTGTTCCATTACCTAGAAACAAAAAAAAAAAATTGCCCATATATGTGTAAATGATTAACTAAAAGAATTTTAATGTCACTCATAATTTAGGCTTAAAGTTGTTAACACATATTTCTTACCATAACTGACCCTCTGAATGTGTACTGCCTAGAAAACAGTGTTCCATGTTTCCTTTACCCTGATTGACAACAGTAGTACAAAAACATAAAAGCTACAACTTTGTGTGCTCTTTAAACCATCAATACATGTTGATTTGTAATGTTTATACACTATAATATTGCAAAGAAATATGAAAATGTTGGGTAGCAAAGAAAATTAAATCACCTCTATTCATTTCAATCAGAAATAACCATTGCTATCTTCCTGTAATAGTCCCTAATAATTGACTTCTAATAATCAACAGATGCCATCAACAGTTCCTTCCTGACCCATCATTCCTGTCTGTTTCCTACTTGACTCTCTTGTCTGCATCACACCACATGATGATCACTGCTCTTCTCATGGTCAGGCATGTGGACATTATTCCCAACTTGATGAACACATGTGAGGAAACACACAAACCCCACTGTGATGAAGTGAGCTGCAAAGAAACTTTGCAAGCTTAAATATTTTCTACAAAGGCACTGCTAATAAGATAATGTGCTGAGTTGGAAGGTAAGGCTTTCATGAACAGTGGCTGGCAATTTACTCTCAGGAAAACAAAAAGAGTAATAGCTTTAATTTTCACCAGCAGAACATAAGAACATTTGTGTTCCAAAAAACTTAAGACTGGCACATCATGTGCATGGGCAGTACTTACAGAGGTCAGAAGTGGTTCCCAGAAGTCCTGGAGCTGGAGTTTCCAGCAGCTCTGAGCCTTGATATTTCCCAAGAGCAGCAAGTAATCTTAATTCCTGAGTGGTCTCTCAAGCCTGCATTCAGGTGTTTTAAATACTAATTACTGTTATTTTGTGAGGAAAAGTCTTAGACCTGGCAATTCAGTTATAAGAAAATTGCTTTATTTATTTAAAATATTTTTATTTCATTTTATTGTCCTGCCACTTCATCAAAAATGATTTCTTTAGCATACATCATCTCTTATATACCCAATTTCTCCCACTTTTGCTTGAGATGGCTGCAGGGTTTCAATGGTTACTATGAATGCTAGTGATTTTTGTAAAAGAATACTTTGTTAACTAGAAAGAAGTAAATTTGTTCTTTACTTATTTATTATAACCTTCTGATTAAGAAAAATACCAAGTGTTGCTGGGTAGACTTTCCTGACCTCAGAATCTGCATCTTCCTGCACTGACCACCAAACACCAGGTTGTAGGTATGTTCTCTATGCCCAATTAGCATTGTAATTCTGACAAACATATTTTAGGAGTCTTTCTATAAAAATCATTATTTTTCTTTTATTTTGTTTACAAACTAAGTTGTATACTCATATTTCTTAATGTTGAGTCATTTCTGGCCTCCTTAAACGAGTTGTTCAGAGTGATTTCTTATGCTAAAGGGCTATCTTGCAAGTGTTTTATATCATATTTTCAGATATATTTGTCAATATTTTTTTCTAAAAATTTTACAACATTCTATTAAGAATATTAACTTGAATTTGTTTAAGAATAACTCTCCTTTTCTATAGATTGGGCATTTAAAAATAATATTGAAATTATTAGTTGTTTATAGGCTAAATCACATCTAATTACACTGTCACCAAATCTAGGATCCAATATGAGGTACAATCAGTTAACATTTTGATAGGTTTCTTTTTATAAATTTCTTCTTGGATCTTTGGGCAATGTCTACACAATTTCAAATTTTCATGAGTGAAACTATATTTTAGGTAGTATGAACTTTTAAAATTAAATGTGATATACATTTGGTAATTTATGTTTTTATATTCATTTTAGTCAAAACACACATAGCATAAAAAGAACAATTCTAGGTGTCAGTCTCAGGCATATTCCTAATACTGGGCTACCATCCTCCCTGTCAGGTTATGTGATCAAGCATGGCTGCAGGTAGAGCTAGCTAAATTTTAGCAGCTCCCTGCATAATGTTTAGCTGAGTAATTTTATCAGGTTTAAAAACACTTGGGCTCTTCTCTACTTGTCTGGGACAAGTGCCTGAGAGCAGACGTAGCCAAGAGTGAGACTCTGGGATTTGCTTTGGTGTAGGATTAATGTATTGCTTAATGAAAGAAATGAAAACATCCCACCCATCAGTTGACCCACAATATTATCCCACTGTTTCCACCTCGTCTTCTGCTTTGGATTTTAATTCTCCCAGGGCCATTGTTTAGTTCTTTCTTTCCCCATATAAATATCTGCAGCTAGGAACTTCCCTACATATATTATTTTCATGGCATTCTGTATATTATGGTAGGCTCTGTTTTGAATCTTTTTATCTAATTGGGGAACACACTAATCACATAGGACATGGGTTCTTACCATATCATTTTGTGTACAAAGAAACCAAGGCTCAAAGCTTTATAACAATTATGGAAGATTTTAACACTTATATTAGGAATTTAAACACATGGCACATAAACTCCCATACCAGAGCCTGAGCTCTGAAATGCTCTTTGCCTGTTTCTCACAGCTCTGTGTGTTTCTGCTTCTCTCTGAGGAGGTGTTTGGTCCTGGCAGTGCTCATAATTCTGTTTTTCATTCCTGAGTTTTGTCAGTTACGTTCATTTCATAAATGGAAGATGTGTTTTCTTGTTCAAATTACCACTTTTCATCCTCTGTGTCACTGTAAGCTTTCTTCCTTTGGCTGCATGATATATGTAACCTTCTCTAGCTGTGCCTCAGCTGCATTGTGGGGAATTCCTTTCCTTGGTGCTGCACAGCCAGAGTGTTAGATTCATCACAGTTCCTGGCTCCCTCTGCAGAAACTGAGAGGGGCATCTGGAGTGGTAAGGGTGACAAGCTGAATTAAAGCCAGTTGATAAGAAGTTCTGTTTGAGTAATTCAACCAAAGAACAAAGCAAGGGAGCAAAGAGGTAGAGGTAACAGATCCCAGTCCTTCCCCAAAGGTGGCCATGTTACCCAGAACTCTTAGGAAAATGTTCAACAGGAGATAAGGAGGCCCACAAAGGCAGACTTAGTTTAAGGAACTGACTCATGGGCTACAGAGGCCCAAAATTTACAATGTGGCCTCAGTGACTGGACAAGGGAAATGAACAGTCCAAATCCAAATGGATATGCTTCCAGAATTCCATTTTACTCAATGAAGTTCAACCCTGATGCTGTTCAGGACTTGACCTGATTGGATGATGAAAGGTAATCTGTTTCATTCAGATTCCTCTCAGTTAAAAAGTTCTTGCCTAGGACAAAGACCTTTAATACCCACCCCATGTTTACTCAAGACTATACACCATGCATCTCTAATAAGATCTATATAAAGTCATCTGTTCTCTTGGTCTGTTGCAGTGAATTCCTCTAGAACCTTCTCTTCCAGCTGCCTGACAACAATGCTTGTACTTTTTACAGCAATACCCAAGGCCATTGACAAAGAAAAAATGCTAACTTGTCAAATAGACACCAGTTTAAACCAACAGACAATAGCTGATGCAAGATTGTTGAGAAATCCTGCACCAAGTCATTTAGAATTGAGACAAGGTCAAATAGACTTGGTGGAACAAGGTTGGATTTACTTTTTCTTCATGTAATTGGGGTCCCAATCTCCATGTGTCTTTCAGTTCATCTTTTCTTCTGGATGCTTACCAGAAACTGACTGTTGTGATGAAGTAAGAACCACAGATATCATGCCTAGGTAGCAGGGAAGCTGTGTTTCAGGGATTTTATTGACTTTATAAAACACCATGACCAAAACAAGTGGGGAGGAAAGGGCTTATTTGGCTTATGCTTCCATATTGCTGTTCATTACTGAAGGATATCAGGACAGGAACTCAAGCAGGGCAGGAGCCTGGAAGCCAGAACTGAGTAGAGACCACGGAGTGATGATGCTTTTGCTCACTTGCTCTCCTCAATAGCTTGCTCAGCCTGCTCTGTTATAGAACCTAGGACCACCAGCTCAGGGATGGTATCACCCATTAGGGGCTGGACTCCACCATTGATTTCTAATTAAGAAAATAAAATGTCTTACAGCTGGATCTTATGGAGGCATTTTCTCAATTGAGGCTTCCTCCTTTGAGATGGTACTAACTTGTCCGATTGACAGAAATCTATCCAGCTTATTCAGGAATGGTCAAATGGTCAGAGGTATTTTTTTTTTTGAATGGGTCAGTTTCTGACAGAGAGCTTTCTTAGAATTCCAACCTCCTTTCAAGTGGAAGCAAAATCTGACCAGAAAAATGGGTAAGTAACTCCAGCTGACACATTGATTTTCAAATTATAGAAGGTTACTAGGATGGAACAGTATCCTCCAAGGTAGGGGAATAAAAACAAAAAACCAAAAAAATGAATCTTCAGCACAAACTCTACCACAGAAAGGTTGTCAGAGGAACCTTGGAGAACAGTGGAGCATTAGCTAATGAAACAGAGCATGGACATCGCTCATTACCCAATAATTACTTGGGATACAGCTGAGGAAAGTTCACATGGACATTGAATGGCAAGCATTGATGTGAAGTTACCATGTGCAGGAAAACTGCAGTTTCATCAAAGATGTTAGGAAAAAACTCAATGTCGTAGACAGAAAAAGAAAGAAAACATTAAAGAATAAAATGTTTGATATATATGTGATAGAATACATAACTAAAATAGACTAGATTTATATCTATGAAGAATTATTTGACTCTTCATAGATCATTGGTGATCTATGGATCATTGGTGAAGAGTAATTACTGCTTCTGCAAAGAAGCTTGGTTTGGTCCCAATTACCATATCCAGTGACTTGCAGCTGCCTGTAGGTCTGCAGGGCTGACACCCTCTTTGAGCCACCAGATATACTTGAATGCACAGGGTACACTAAAGGCCCCCCCCACACACACGAAATTAGACATAAAAGTTCAAAAATAAAACAATGTTACCTTAGAAAAATGATTCAGAAACTTACCTAGTCAAAGTATTGCACTTTGTAATTCAAAATGTGTGATCCTATCTTAAAATGTTGTTTACATTTTCCTTATGAATAGTTGAAATTAATAATAGTGTTAATAATAGTATTTTGGTGATGGAATGATGAGGATGGCACTGTGTGTTAAACATGGGACACATCCAAGAACTTGTTTTATTTTCTTTAAAATAAATGAACATTAATATGAGGTAAATTTATTATTTATGGGACAGTTTCAAATAAGTTATTTTTTTCTATAGAATGATTTCACAATGTGGTTGAGGTTATTTATCATTTGAAATCTTATTACATTTCTAATTTTTATCAATGATTAAATTACTGATGTGTTCTACTTACTTTCTCACTCAGTGAAAACTATGGTTCAAAAATAAGGTTGTTTTGAATCTCTGTGATTTTAATGAACCCAATGAATATTATTAATCATCCTAGGTATATGGGTAAGTGGCTAAGGCATCTAAATGAATACCAGTAAATTATAACTGAACAGATTATTAGAGAAATCAACTGCAGGTAAACTTTAGAAGAGACATTACATTTTCAGAGTACACAAGCATTCAGTCACCTCAAACTTTTTCTGATAGCGCTCCTTCAGAGCTTGAAGCTCCTGCTTCCGCTTTGTCTCCAGCAGAGGGGCATGGTGATTCATGTAATCGATGTCCTTCTGGATCTTGGCGTTAGCTTGTTCCAGCTTCTCCTTCTGCTGCTCCAGATGCTCCACTTTGTGGGCTGCTTCTTCTAGATAGCCATTCAGCTCTGCGATGTCTTTGGAAAAGTGCTCATGCTCTGGGGGAGATGGTGAGAGCAATACAAAGTTCAGGGTTGGCAGCAGCCTGCCCAGAGAGTAATGCTTGCTTATATACAGGAGCACCTTGGCCTTTGGAAATCATTTGTCTGTGTATCTTATAAAGGATTATTTAAAAATTATATTGTAAAACATATTGCTTTCTTCATTCATTGCCAAAAGGATTAAAACATCTTTGGTATGGATCCAATTTATTATAACCAACAAACTGATCAGTATATATTTATATATATACATATACATATATATATATGTGTGTGTTATGTATAATTGTGTGTGTGTATATATATATGCATATATATAAGTATTTTATGTAATTGTGTTAAAGTGAAAATAAAATTGAAAAAGTGGACGCATTCCAGAAATATATAAAGGTCAAAATATAAAATTGGAGTTACAAATGTCAAAATAAAAGGATTATTCTTATTTAGGTGTGTTCCAGTTATGTAAAGAAATACAACATTATTATAACTAAAAATTATCATAAAGGATGGTTTACCTAAAATAAAGCATGTGATAGCTTATTTACCTAAAATTAAGATAGAAAATCAGGTTTTCCTGGCTCAGGGATACAAGCTTAGTTCACAGACACTGTTCAGCATCCTTAAAGCTCTGAGTTAGAACCCAGCACCAACCAACAGTACTGGTGATGTCTGGCATACCTGTACTCCCAGCACCGTGAAGGCAGAAGCAGGAGCATTAAGGTAATCTTTAGCTACAGAGGACTTCAAAACCAGTCTGGAATACATGAGGCCTTGTTATGAATGAATAAATGAATAAATGAATAAATAAATGAGTACAAAGATGTTGAAAAGAATAATTTCACAATAAAACTAGAGTGTGAAATAAGCAGTCTATATATAATAACAACATATATATGTATACACATACATTGTATGTATGTATGTATGTATGTATGTATGTATGTATGTAATAACCCTGACAACAAGCAAGGCCCATAGGCAGAAAACAGCAATGAAAAGAAACTTCAAATCTGAACAAACTGATAAACATCATCTCTTTCAATAAAAATGTTTGAAACTGTAGATAATTCTAATCACTTTATATAATATGCACTTAGAAAGTTATACGCAAACTAGCTAAGAGGTCTCCCACATTATTCCCATCAAAGCTTCTGAATACTAAAACCATCTTGCACTGTTGGAAGAAAACAAAATGACTTTTTAAAAATAACTTAAAATAAAATAAAAATTTCTCATGTAGTTTGTTAATATCGTTGTTAGGATACTTGCATATTTGTTGCTTGTAGACCTACATTTTTTCATATTTATACTAATTTTCCCTAACTTCGTTTTATAGTTTGAAGTGCCTTCTTATATAAGTTGTGGCCCCTGTGTTTTTTTGTTTGTTTGTTTGTTTGTAATTTTATGATCATTTGCAATTACATTCACAAAACAGTGTTATGTCTTATGAACATGCATATTTCATATTGAAGCATTTCTAGGTATTGAGTCAAAGTTTTTCTGTTAGTATCTGGAGAAATATTTTGGTTATCTGTTTACTTGCTGATACTTTTTTTTCCATAAACATTTGCAAAGAGTGAAATATTACTCTCAGGCATATATTCTGAATGCTTTCATTGTCAATAACCAGAGCCACAGGCTGGTTGTGGTAGTGCATATCTGTATGCCAGGGAATGAGGAAGGAAGACGAGGAACTCAGCACCACCTTGTCTGTACTGTGAGACTATCAAAACACTAAGGAGGGAGAAGAGGGTCAAGGACAGGATAAGCAGGAGCAAGATGAGGAAACAGGAAAGAGAAAAGAAGGAGAAGGAGGAAGACGAGGAGGAGAAGAAGAAGAAAAAGGTTTGTCTACATTCAGAGGCCCATGTATGTCTATGTGCTTTTTCTTTTTCGTTTTTCTTTTTTCTTTTTTTTTTTTTTTTTTTGCTTTTTTAAATTGTTCTAATTAAAATTTTCCTTTAATTGAAAATAAATTGTCCTGTCACATAATACATCCTGACTATGCTTTCTTATCCCTTTGCTCCTCTCAAATCCTTCCTACCTCCTCCCCACCCCAATCTACTCTTTCAGTCTTTCATCAGAAAACAGGTTTCCAAGTGATAATAATAAAACATAATCCAAAACAAGCAAATGAGATAAATAAAAAAAAACTGTCACATTGGAGTTGGACAAGTCAAACAAACACACATGAATCAGAGACCACCCAGGAATTCTATGAAAACCCTAAACTGAAGCCGTAATACATAGGCAAAAGATCTGGTGCAGGCCTTTGCAGGTTCTGTGCATGCCTCCTCAGTTTTCCATATGCTTGTTTTCATGTCTGTCTTTTTAATTAACTGTTTTACATTGCCTGTCTTCTAAATTATATATTTTCCATTGTGTTGATTTTCTTACACTCATACCTGCCATCCTTTGAGTGAGACCCTTCCCCTTTGCCACTTTCCACGTGTGCCTTGCTTTAAACATTCATTCTGTGGAAAGTTGCCTGTAGTTCTAAAATTTAGCGGAGCATAAATTTAGCTCTACAAAGTGTGTCACAAGCTATCAAACATGTCCATTCTAAGTTCAATGACTTCTCCCGCTTCCATGAAATAGCCACAGCGAAGTAGTTGTGGATCCACAAGCACAGCTGTATGGATAACAGGGAGCTGGTAAGAGTAGGCATAGGGAACACCAGGGGAGAGTCTGAACACAGGCACTTATTTGTGCCTCCAAATGCCTGTTGTGTGTGATAAAATGTATGTGTCGCTTTATTTTACAAGAGAACAAAGCTAATCAACCCAATGTATAGTTTATGGGATCGTATAACACCTGATTTATTTTGGAAGATATTTCGGGTTACCTTTTTTTTTGATAGAAAAGATAAATACTTTCATAGATAGCACTAGATACTAGTTCACAAGAATTGTATTTTCTGGGGGTGGGGTTGGAACTGACTTATGACCTGACAGAGTGGAAGGGATCAGGCAGGGTTACCAATATCCCTGCTCCATGCTCCTCAAAGGCCTCTTCATGGTGTCCTGCATGGATTCTCATTGGCTGACTCAAAGGGAAGTCAGACCGTAACAATGTCTTAAGCACAGTCACTGTGAAGCAGCTTTCAGGGACATAAAACAAAGCATGAGCTGTAGAGGAGAGGAGGCTAGACTGCAGAAGCCCTTAGAGAAGATCTGGAAAACAACAGATGGTTTACCTAATTTTATAAAATGTTTGTTCTGACTTACCTCCCACTTACAACTGTTAAAGATTATGAGGATTTTTTAAAATTTATTATACAAAAATGTTAAGATTCTAAAAATAGAAAAAATATAACTATATTTTATAAACAAAGTAATAAAATGTTTAATTATGTCCTATTTATATACATATAAAGCCAGCTGATTCATGGAAATTTTTTTTCAGAAATATTTTTCTCACAGAAAGATGTTAAGGAGTATATAGCAACAAGTTTAAATTACACTGCATGCCTAACCTCTTAAAAAAATACAGTAATAAATACACACTTGGGTTGTAAGTAGACCTTCCATAGAATTGACTACAAGGTAATTCAAATGATTAGTTATTACCCACCACAAGAATTTATTGTATCTATTAGTTTCCAGAATGTATACATATCTGTATTAATTTTATTTCTACAACTCCCTAAATGTAACTTCGAAAGAACTCAAAACCATAGTATCTAAATGATCTTATAAATGGCTTATTAGGTAATCAGAGCAACATGCAAGAGATCAGCTCTCAAGTTAACTTTTCTACCACTGCTAATGAAGAAGGACAATTAGAAGAGCTGCAGATGTTCTGTGGGTGTGAATATGAGGCAGCCCAAGAACCTACTTGAATCCTCCATGTCCTAAGGTACTATTTGGACCCTGTCATTGTCTTATCATATTTATTTATCATGTACTATCAACACAGTAATACAATAGCAGAATGTTAATATTGTAATTTCTGTAAAATAAAGAATGACACAAAAAGACCATTTCATTTTTAGCATTTTCTTGCAGCTCTGTAAATCATACATATCTACTTTGGAGGTGATAATTTTAAAAGATTTGGTGCTATGATCAATGGTGGTTTGCTTGTTCTCCACGACATATACTTTTAGTTCATGCCTGTTATCCTAGAGCGATTACTAATAGCATGACCCTTTGATCTTTATAAGTTCCTATACAAATGACAGATTTTATGAGTATCCTATTTTTTTTTTAAGTTACTTCAAAGCCAATGACTCCTTAACTCAAAATTTTACCTTGAGTTTCTAGTGTCTGATGAAGCTCTGGTGAAGAAGATTTCAATGACACATGATCTGTGGATACAGCAGCCAGTATCTTTAGGCTGTGATATTCCACCCAAGCTTTCTCTCTGTAAGCTTTGAAGCTCAGCATTTTCTTAACCAGTTATTACCCAAGTTACTCTAGCAAACATATTAAAGCTGCCTTCTTGCTAGGAGTTCCTTTCAAACTGAATTTATTTCTAAGTTCTCAAAAGTAAATGTGTGTCATTCCCAACATGTCATTCAGAAATTTGAATTTTTCTACATTGTAAAAGGTGGCTAATGATACTAACTGTGCAGTCAGTTTTAGTAATTGCCATAACGGATAGTGAATGGATATCAAATATTTGCCTATCCCTGAGGTATGTTAATGAACAGGGTTTCAACTTAAGTAAAAGTCCACAGTCAAGGTTTGCACAGCACAACACCTACTTGTGTCTCTCACTTCATTACAATCTTTAATACTGTATTTCAATTATGGAAGAGTAAATTGTGTACACAGAGCAGTGGGTCACCCTGTCTGCTACCCTAACGCTGACTGGCAGAGTAAAAACCCTTTTCATACCTTTCTGCACAGCTGTGGGGAGCTCTTGGAGTTTCCAAATAGACCAAGAGTCAATTTTCATGCTAATCCTTCTCTTTCTTGATTTTTGTTGTTTTAAAGCATGTTCGGCTTCTGCCCTGTCAGTTTCCAGACTTTTAATGAGGTGAATGGCCTCTGATAGCAATGTCTCCATTTTCTTCTTCAGCTCCGGACACTTCTCATCTTAAATTAGGAACATGCATTCATGTTAATCAATCAGCCATAGGCAGCATGACAGAACACTGCTCTCACATGAAGTATCCTTCCAAATATTTATGTGTTTAAGAGGAGAACGTTAGCAAAGTTAATTAATCTTTAGAAGATCATTTGTAATGTCAAACAGAGCCAGGCATGATAATACAGGCTAGTAATAACAGCACACAAGAAGTGGATCTTGCAAGATTCCTGTAGGTTCAGAGGTAGTGTGAGCTGCGGGATGAGAGATTCGCCTTAAAAATGACAAAGGGGACTTCAAAATATATAACTTAATTATGAGAATACAAAGATAATGTCCTATTCTTTGCACACAAGAATTTTGTATGAACATGTATAAAAAAATTTGTGAAAAGCCTCAACCAGTATCTTCAAGAGAATCTGGACTCCAACTAACAATTTGCGAATCTCTGTATTGGAAGGAAAGCCACCCCACAAGTGGCTTTATCTTTAAATCATGGCCATAGTCCCTCCCAGTCTTTAAGGACACAAACCACAATGAGTGACTTAAATCAATCCTGAAGAACACTCACTTTTTGGAAAAGAAGGCATTGACAGGCTTTAGCATTGTCATTTAATAACTTCTCCACCTAGCCCTGGCAGGAATTCATCAGAAATTTCCAAATTATATTTATTCAGCCTTAATTAACTCTGTTAATGAGAGATGCTGTGATCTCTGGTTCATAGCTCTGGAATAATATGACTTAATGTTAACAAAATATTACCAGAGTTGTTCATTCTTCTGCTTGAGAACAAAATGTGTCCAAAGCTTATTATTTTCCCCAACAACAACAATATGTTTTTCTCTAGAGAGAAGCAGGTAAGGAAGACAGATGAGAGCCCTATTCTGCTGCTATTTGTAGCTGTAATGGCCGACTGCTGCCAGCATGCGACTGATAAGAATACATAAACACAGTGTCAGAAAGAAAAGGGCACCACAGAGGGGAGGCAGCCCATAAGACAGTGAAATAGCAAAAAAGAAGAACTTGATGGCTGAATCTGTTTTTTTTTTTTTTCCTTTTGGATAATAAACACAATGATTTTTTTCTGCTAGATGGCAATATTGGAAATGGCCATATAATGGTTATAAAGACAACTGGGTGGTTGCATAATCTCTCCCATCCTAGAAAGCTTGTAAAAGACATTTACGTATATCCTTAAACTAATTAATTTTAATGAGTAACAGTAACTTTCTATGGTCTGCAGCTTTATCTGGTCCCTTTGAACTCATTGTTTACTTTTGTCCTGGGTACTTTATTAAATAAGTTGTTAAAGAAGCTATTCGTGGAGCGTTGACAATTGGTGAATCTCTTCATGATCAAAGTCTCCCCAAGTCTTCAGTTTACAATGCACACGGATATGAATGTCACTGATAATCACAGTTCTTTAATTTACTGGATTCATATGTTTTACCAAAATTGTTCATTCTGATTTTACAAATTACCTTTTACTCTCTCTTTAACAGCATGCAAATAAACATTATATATGTAATTTGCCGAGCCTCTGGTTCATTGTCACAGCTATTTAATTGTCCCCCCAAATCAACTCACTTAGTGTATATGTAAATAATTACTTGCACTTTTTAACCCAAACACTTTCAGTAAGACACTGTCTTCCGACTATCACAGTGTGCCTTAGTCTTATATGTGCATATTTCTGATAAATGTTATCAGAACTTTTACTATTACTGTGGCCATCAATACATTAATCCTTTTTCTCCACATCTGAGATATGTAAATATTGAATTTTTATATTCTCTGTAGACATTAATACAGAAAATACATAAATAAAATCAATCTAAACAGCCTCAGAATGAATGATGCTTTGAAAAAAAAATTTCCTTTTAATGAAAAGTTCCGAGTTAATCAGTTTTCCTCCAGTGAAGGCATTTGTAAATTTTTGTGACAGGCAAAGATGATAAACTTAACATAATCTCAAACATATATACATAAATGTTAAAGTAATATTAATAATAACTTTAGCCAGTGTTTAAATTTTGCAACTTTTTGAAATTAGATTGTGGTAAATTCTGATCATATGGAAGCCACTGAACCACAGCTATTTATAGTTCAACGTAAGTTAAAAGGAAACTTAATAATTTTATGTCTCTCAGTCTTACCAGCCACATGCCATCTTATTGGTAGCTCTCTGTGGGTAATACCTGCCCCTCTGGAGAGACAGTCAATGCCTTGGCCACCATAGAAAGCTTTATCAATGATTCTGAACTGTAACTAGTTCCTTGATCTGTGGCCAAGGATCTCTACACTAAACTACAGTTTAAACAAGTGATGGGTACACTAATAATAAATCTGTCTTAGGACACACTGCCTAGAATGGTATAGCAGGTTCTTTTCTCTATTCAGCATCCCAGAAACTCATAAAACAATGACTGTGGATATTAAAACTACACTAAATAAAATGTCAATGGCCTGTAAATAATTATGCATCTCTCAGAATTAGAAGCAAACTTACCCCTTGCCTTTTCTGGGTGGACTTCCTTTTCTGGGGCAGTGACACCCACGTCTTCTTTTGCATCTTTCGTGGTAGAGGTCCTACATATACATAATGAGGAAGACAGCATCAATTTGTAAGAAACAGATGCATTCAAAGGTAGTTAAAGTTTGGTAAAGGGTTTGTGTGGAATGTTAAATGATTTTGTTCATGGTAATCCTACTAAATAGCGCAATGATATAAGAAATTCTAATATCTAGTAGTATTTTTACTTAATAGAAAATTTTTAAACAATTACAAATGTCTAAAAATTTTCTGATGGTGCTTAATATATAAATCATGTGCCTGTGCCTGTGCGTGTGAGTGTGTGCATGCATGCATGCATGCATGCGTGCGTGTGCGTGCGTGCGTGCGTGTGTGTTCTATACATATGTGTGGATGCTTGCCTACCCGTGGAGCTGAAGTTCAGTGTTTGTGACCTGCCTGATGTAGGTGCTGGAAACTGAACTAGTGACCTCTGCAAGAGCAATGTGTCCTATAAACCATTCAGCCACCCCTCTGGTTCCAAGAAGTAGGTTTGATGGAGGATCAACTAGATAATACTTTTGTTTTCAGCACAGTGAGTTCTTACAATATATATATAATATATATAAACTACAAATGGTAAAATACAATATAAACTACAAATGGTAAAAACGACAATTTCAGGCATCAGGAAATTTGGAAAGAAGCCAGATAAAAATGTCACTTCATTTCTACATTAATCTTCTTCCTGAGGTCACGGTCTGACTAGCACATCACTTCTTACCATTAGTATTTCCCTAGACGGATGTTAGGATCCTAAACCAAGACTTCATGTACTTTAAAAATCTTATATTTTTACTGATAAAATTTCAACATAAATCTGCATCAATGGAAAGATGGTGTGTTTTTAAGCTTTTACTAAATCATTTATCTTTATTAGAGAGTCATTAAAATTAACAAAAGCTTTATGCATACCAACTATCATTACAGCTCATAAGAATAACTATTTCCATGTTCAGTTATTGGAGACCACATGTAATATCATGTTGTAGTAATATTTTAGCTTTCATAAAACTCACCATCAAATTTCATATCTCACTTTGTATCACATAATTTTCCATACTTCTTAATACAATTAATGTTTTGTAATGATTGTATATTAAATGTATTTTTAAAAGACTCTATTTTAAATGAGATAAACTAAGTATCTTCTTTTCTTTTTTTTCTTTTCTTTTTATTTCAAAATACTTTTCCTAAAAACTGTAAATTTTTTGTTTGACTTTTAAAATAATAAAACAATTGTCCCCAAATTAACGATTAAATATATTTTTCCTTTTGGCTTGCAATCTTTAGTGCATGTTACAGCAACACTATTAATTAGTTTTGAGGGTGATTTTGTTTGCTTGTTTATTTTGGGTCTCTCTATATAGACCTGGCTGTCCTAGAACTCTCCAGGTAAATCAGGCTGGCTTCAAACTCACAGTGATCTTCCTGGTTAGAGGTATGCACCACCACACAAGGCTAGCTGTAGTCTTGTGTATTCTCTTCTGGATTTTATTCTATTTCTAATCATAATTAATTTTTAATAGTACTTTTAAAATCAAATTATATTAAATCATTTTGATTTAGCAGTCTCTCTCTTTCATACTGGTCTTTATCTGCTTTCTGTGTATATGGATATAGCTATAATGAATATTTCATATAAGTCTCATATAAAGCCCAGACCTTATAATGCATACATACATACATACATGTAACACCTTAATATAATATATGTAAATATATATGAATATATGATGTTTGCTCATATTGTATTATAATTATTAGAACGTCATTTCTTTTTGTGGCATAAAAATATTTCATTGAATAAATAAATGAAACTGTTTTAATTCACTGACATATTTTTTTTCACCTCTTAGTTATTGTGAAGATTGATGCTTTGAACATTTGTATTTAAATTTTCACTTAAACGCCTGCTTCAAATACTTTGGGGATATATATTTTAGAGGAGAAATGGTTGGCTCCTGGATTCATTCAGGTTTTACTTCTTCAGGAACTGACAAACTAATTTTAAGTGTCTGTACAACTTGCCATTGACAGCATTGTAGTAGAGATCCAGTGTGGAATGGAAAAGAGCTGATGTCCTTGGATTGCATATGAATTTAGTTTGAAGTTCTTGGTTGTTGCAAGTCAGTTTGCACCAAAGGTTTTTAGAAATGTCTTCTCTTGTTTAGGTAAGGCTTTTAGAATTGTATTTTATTAAAAGTGTTTCTGTTATGAGAAACATTGTTTTGCTCACACATTTTTTGTCTTAAGTTCAAGAAGGATTTTCTCCACATTTAATTTATATGGACAATTGATAGATCCACTTTTGTATACCAAGTTATCATTGCTATTATCAGGAAAATCCAACCTGGTCATGATGTGTAATTCTATTAACAGGACACAGGGTTCAGTCCTAGACTGATTGTATTTCATTAAAAATTTTCACAAGGAAATTCAAACAAACAAATCTGAAAACTTTCTTCCAATGTATTTGCTTTTAGTGTCACAACAAAAGTTGACAGCATCAAGTAAGTTGGGAAGGGTTTTCATTTCTGTTTTTTTTTTTTTTTTGTTGTTGTTGTTGTTTGCTTTGATTTTTTTTAAGAACTTGAGAAAGCATGATAGAAATTCTTATTTCAATATTCAATAGAATTTGCTTTACTTTGCTATAATGATGGTGTTTTGACAAGCTTGGACTCTCTTTGATTTGTTTTGCTTATTTATTTTATGAATTATGGTCTTAATATATAGCTTAAGCTTGGTGGTAGCTGACTGTCATTTAGCCTAGCTTCCCTGGTATTTGGGCTAAAGAATGTGACAGCTCTACCTGGCTAAAGTTTGTTTTTTTTATTTTAATTTAAAAAAAAATTATCCATCTCCTTGCCCACTGAACTTTTGAGTTCTCTTTCTATTTATTTTTCTAGTTACTCTTGAGAATTTTTTTTGTATTTAATTTATTATTTTACATGTAGATCCCAGTTCCCTCTCCCTCCCTCCCTCCATCTCTCCCTCTCTCCCTCCCTCCCTCCCTCCCTCCTTCCCTCCCTTTTACCCTCTCTGCCCTCTCACATGCACTCTAACCACCCTCCCCTCCCATCCGCCCACCCCAATTCCATATGTAGGGGAATGCCATCCAGTTGGGGTCATGTAGATATGACAGGACATATGAAGTAGGGACTAGGGCTTCTCTCCTGTCTCTAGATTAAGGCAGTTATCCCTCCATGGGGGATGTGTTCGCAAAGTCCTTTTGTGCACCAGGGATACATACTGGCTCCACTGTCTGAGGTCCCTTAGACTGCTTCCCAGCTATCAGCCTTGGGGCCTGTTAGCTCCTCCTTGTTCAGTTCAGCAGTCTCTATGTGTTTCTGCAACCTGGTCTTGTCCTCTCCATCTGCATCTGGACTCTAGTTCGACTCAGTGTTTAGGTAAGGGAGTTTGCTTCTGTTTCCAACAGGTATTAGATGAAGACTCCATTGATAAGTTAGTTGTTGATCTCACTATCTGGGAAGGGTATTTATGGTAGCCTTTCCACGGTTACTCAAATTGTTAGTTGGTGGCAGACTTGTAGGTCTCTAGACCTTTGTTTAGGTTGAGTTTTCTCTTCAAACCAATAATGGCTCCCTCTTTTATGTTCTCTCTCTCTCCCTCCCTCCCTCCCCCCCTCTCTCTGGTCTTCTATTCCTCCCATGACTCAATCTTCCTAGTCACATGTGTTTTCCTCTCCTCTCCCTCTCCTCCTACTTCTCTCTCCATTCACTGCCCTCCCCCCATCCTCTATGCTCTGGGGGCCTTATCCCTTCCCACTTCTGTGAGGGACTTTATATGAATCTTTTAGAATACACCTTGTATCCTAGTTCCTCTGGTGGTGTGAATTATAGGCTGGTGATCCTTTGCTCTAGGTCTAAAATCCATATATGAGCGAGTACATACCATGTTCCTTTTTGTGACTGGGTCACCTCATTCAGGATGGTTTCTTCAAGTGCCATTCACTTGCCTGCGAATTTCAAGATACCATTTTTTTTTTAATCTGCAGAGTAGTATTCCATTGTGTCGATGTGCCACATCTTCTTTATCTATTCTTCAATTGAGTGGCATATAGGTTGCGTCCGGGTTCTTGCTATTACAAATAATGCTGCTATGAACATAGCTGAACACATGTCTTTGTTGCAATGATGTGGATCATTTGGGTATATGCCTAAGAGGGGGATTGCCAGGTCCTGTGGTAAACTAATTCCCATTTTCCTGAGGAACCACCATACTGATCTCCAAAATGGTTGTACAAGTTTGCACTCCCACCAGCCGTGGAGGAGTGTTCCCCTTTCTCCACATCCTCTCCAGCATGAGTCCTCATTGGTGTTTCTAATTTTAGCCATTCTGGCAGGAGCAAGATGGTATATCAAAGTTGTTTTGATTTGCATTTCCCTGATGGCTAAGGATGATGAGCACTTTCTTAAATGTCTTACAGCCTTTTGATTTCCTATATTGAGATTTTTTTTATTCAGTTCTGTACCCCATTTTTTAATAGGGTTGTTTGGTGTTTTGTTGACTAGTTTCTTGAGTTCTTTGTATATTTTGGAAATCAGCCCTTTGTCGGATGTAGGATTGGTGAAAATCTTTTCCCAGTCTGTGGGCTGCCGTTTGGTCTTGTCCACTGTGCTCTTTGCCTTACAGAAGCTTTTATTTTGAAGTGGACCCATTTATTAATTGTTGCTCTCAGTATCTATGCTCCTGGAGTTATGATCAGGAAGCGGTCTCCTATACCAATTTGTTCAAGGGTACCTCCTACTTTCTCTTCTAAGAGGTTCAGTGTGGCTGGATTGATGTGGTCTTTGATCCATTTGGACTTTACTTTTGTGCATGGCGATAGACATGGATCTATCTGCAGTCTTCTACACACCATGATCCAATTGTGCCAGCACCATTTGTTGAAGATGCTGTCCTTGCCCCATTGTATTCTTTTAGCTGTTTTGTCGAAAATCAGGTGTTCATAGGTGTGTGGGTTAATATCAGGATTTTCAATTCGATTCTATTGGTCTACCTGTCTATTTTTTTGCCAATACCAGGCTGTTTTCAGAACTATAGCTCTGTAGTAGAGCTTAAAGTCAGGGATGGTGATGTCTCCTGAAGTTCTTTTATTGTACAGGGTTGTTTTGGCTATCCTGGGTCTTTTGTTTTTCCATATAAAGTTGATTATTATCCTTTCAAGGTCAGTGAAGAATAGTGGTAGGATTTTAATGAGGATTGCATTGAATCTGTAGATTGCTTTTGGCAAGGTTGCCACTTTTTACTATGTTTATCCTACCTATCCAAGAGCATGGGATATCTTTCCATTTTCTGGTATCTTCTTTAATTTCTTTCTTTAAAGCCACTAAGTTCTTATTATATAGGTCTTTCACTTGTTTGGTAAGCATTACACTTTATGTTGCTTGTGGCTATTATAAAGTGTGATGTTTCTTTGATTTCTTTCTCAGCCTCTTTGTTGTCTGAATAAAGTAGGGCTACTGATTTTTTTTTGAGTTTATCTTGTATGCTGCTAGTTTGCTGAAGGTGCTTATCAGCTGTAGGAGTTCCCTGGCAGAGTTTATTGGGTCGCTTATGTAAACTATCATATCGTCTGCAAATAGAGACAGTTTGACTTCTTCCTGTCCAATTTGGATCCCCTTGATCTCCTTTTGTTGTCTTATAGCTTTAGCTAGAATTTCAAGTACGATATTGAAGAGATATGGAGAGAGAGGGCAGCCTTGTCTTGCTCCTGATTTTAGAGGAATTGCCTTAAGCTTCTCTCCATTTCTCTTTCTATTTTTAAATGCGTGTATGTGCATGTGTGTACACGTGGCAACACACACACAAATTGGAAATCAAAACAATGAACCAATAAGACAAATAATACCACAAAAACAAACAATCATGAACTGAAGTATGCGTTGTACAACTACCCCAGGGCATGGAGTGTGCCCTGAAGTGATAATGCCCAGTGACACACTAAGGAAAATTGATTTTTACTTTGCTGGAAGGTAACAACTGCAAGTAGGTTCTTGGTTGGGAGTGGTATATCTACTTCCCCTCTTTTAGTGCAGTGACCCCATCTGGATTGAACTTGTGCAAATCTTATGCATGCTTCCAGCGTTTCTGTGAATTCATGTGTGCATCAGCCCTGTTGTGTCTAGAAGACACTGTTTCCTTAGAGTGATTCAAGTCCCATGGCTATTACAATCTTTCTGCTTGGTCTTCTCCATAGATCCTTGTGTCTTGAGGAGAGTTTTGAGGAAGACATTCCACTTAGGACTGACTGTCCCAAATTATCGGGCTTTCTTAACATTATGCAGCTGTGAGTCTTGGGGTTAATTCACATCTACTGCAAGAAGTTTAGCTGATTGAAGCTGAAAAATGCACTGATCTATGGACATAGCAATAAGTCATTAGGAATCATTTTATTGCTATGTTCTGGTTAAAGATTTTTGATTACTGATATTATCTCTTTAATTCTTAATTCTTATATGTCAATTTAGATTTTCTTTTCTTCTGAGTCATTATGTGGCTCTAGAAATTAACATAACTGAGAATTTATCCATTCTAACACCTTCATCTTTTGATTAGAATGTTTAAGCTATTTTCATATATGTCATTCACAACAAAAGTTTTGTTTCTGCTATTATACAACTACTTTTCTATATTAATAATATTTTATTTCTCAGTCTCTCTATAACTACCTTATTTGACAACTACTTATTTTTTATGCATTGTTTTTTTTTTCATTTTTCTGATATAATTTTAAGGTTTTCCTAAGTCATTGTTTAGGAGCTGACATAATATTTAACTTAAATTTAACTTAACAAAACTTACATTTTAATGACAAAAATTGCTATTTCAACAATATCATACTGGCCTAACATGCTCTGTTAGACCTTCGCCCTTCATCATATTTTATTATAACCATGAACAGTGAAATTATCTACTGTATGCTCAATAAAAAAGTCCATAATTATGAGTTTTATTCACTTGTTCTTTAAGTAACATAGAAAAGCAACTATGAGTTCAAGTTAATACTGAATTTTATATGATTCTGTAGCTTTTATTATTTTTTATTATTTCTTATTTTGGCCTTTGGTTAATCTATCTACTATCCTTTGGTTTCAGCCCAAAAGTTATCCTTAAATAATTCTCATGGGACATGTCTATTAGTGATGAACACCTTTCAATTTTTTAAATTTGGGAATATCTCTACTTCTTCTCTATTGCTCAAAGATATTTATATGAGAATGAAGGAATCTTTAACGGCGTAGGCTTGTTTGGGATTTCTTTGAAAGTCTTAAGTTCTCCAAAGACTTTGGTGACAAGCTGACTTTCAATCTGATTGAGAATTTCTTATACCTGGCCAATACCTTATTCCTTGATGCTTAATTATCTCTTTTTTCCTGGGACTTATATTAGTTTGTTAATATGCTTATTGGTGTCAATCCCTTTCATTTTATTCTATTTAAATTTAAATTCTACTTTATTAAACTTGGTAGATAAATTCTCTGTATTTAATAAAGTATAGGTCCATGTGTTTTGCCAAATTTTGGAATATTTTCAGAAAAATAGAGTTTTCATAAAATTTTCTTCCCCCATTTCTCTACCCTCACATTATTGTGTGCAGCATGAGTATAGATTTACAGTGGGTTTTCTGTGTTCCTTGAGCTTATTTGGCACTTTGGGTTTTATTTCTTCACATGCATCTCATTTCCCATCCTTTTTCTTCTCTGTCTCTGTCTTGTTCCAGTTATTATTTGTCACCCCATGCAGCTGTGGCTCACTACCTAGAAGCTCCCTAAGCACTGTGATAAGAATTAGTCATACACGTCAAAAACCTTCCAATGGAAAATTTCAGAAATAAAATCTCAGTTCTCTGACACTAGGAATGCAGAGCACCAGTAGAGAATGCTGTCATCGCGGCTACCACTAGGGCAGGAGTTGGTGAGCAGGCAATATACTGCCTTGATGCTCTAGCTCGATGAGTGGCTTCTTTAGGGATTTCCTCTCTGGCTGATGTCAGTTTTTGCTAGATTCCAGATTTCTGACCATGTCCACTTTCACATGAGTTCTCTATTCCAACCATCCATCACTCTCTGCAGTTCCCCACATTTTAATACCTAACATGGGGAATGCTGCTTTCGATTTTCCATTCTTTCTGAAATTAAATTGGTGAACTGCAGATTACCAAAGGTTCAACATTTTAAGGACAAATAAATGAATAATTGAAGTTTCTTACCATTCTTCAAAAGAAGCTTCAAACTGTCAAAACAAAAGAGCTCAATAAAAATCAAAATTTAAACATCTCAAAAGACAATTGGTGAATTTCACTTAAAATTCATTTAAATGTGAACTAACTGATAAAATTCTGTTCTCCACTTTATAAAATTGGTCATATTATACTCTGTTACTTCATAATATGTGTGTGAGTGTGTGTGTGTATCTCAAGCCCATTTATTTTCAATATTACAAAACTTTTCACACCTTAAAAAATGTCCTTCTAATTCTTTTGTTTCTTTGTTGAGTTTCTGATTTGTGGTCCTGTCTAGTGTTGAGAGTGGTGTATTGAAGTCTCCCACTATAAGTGTGTGAGGTTTTATATGAGCTTTGAGTTTTAGTAGTGTTTCCTTTTACGAATGTGGGTGACTTTGTATTAGGGGCATAGATGTTCAGAACTGAGACTTAGTGTTGATGGATTTCTCCTGATATGAATATGAAATGACCATCTTCATCTCTTTTGACTAATTTTGGTTTGAAGTCTAACTTGTTAGATATTAGGATAGCTACACCTGCTTGCTTCTTATTTCCATTTGATTGGAAAATCTTTTCCCAACCCTTTACCCTGAGGTAATGTCTATCTTTGAAGCTAAGATGTGTTTCTTGTATGCAGCAGAAGGATGGATTCTGTCTTCGTATCCATTCTGTTAGCCTGTGTCTTTTTATAGGTGAGTTAAGACCATTAATGTTGAGGGTGAGTAAGGACCATTGATTGTTGTTGCTTGTTTGATTTAGGTTTGATGTTGGCTGTGGTATTGTGAATATATTAGTTCTGCTTCACCCTTGGTTTCTGGTGTAGTTGGATTATTTGTTGCCTACATTTTTGTGGGCATAGTTACCTTCCTTGGGTTGGAGTTTTCCTTCTAATACTTTCTGTAAGGCTGGATTTGTAGATACATATTGGGAAAATCTGGTTTTGTCATTAAATATCTTGTTCTCTATGTCTCAACTGGGGTTAACAGACATCTATAGAACATTCCATCCACATGGAACCTTCTCTAAAATCGACCACATACTAGGTGACATAACAAACCTCAACAGATACAAGAGAATAGGAATAGTCCCCTGTATCCTATTGGACCACCATGCTTTAAAATTGGAATTCAACAACAACACAAATAGCAGAAAACCTGCAAACTCATGGAAACTGAACAATGTGCAATTGAACCACTCCTGGGTCAAAGAAGAAATAAAGAAAGAAATTAAAGACTTTCTAATATTCAATGAGAATGAGGATACAACATACCCGAACTTATGGGACACCTTGAAAGCAGTGCTAGAGGGAAGTTCATTGCACTAAGTGCCCATATGAAGAAAACAGAGGATAGTCACATAAGAGAATTAACAGCCCAACTGAAAATCTTAGAACAAAGAGAAGCGAATTCACCCCGCAGGAGTAGACGCCAGGAAATAATCAACTTGAGGGCTGAAATCAACAAAATACAAACCAGGAAAACAATACAAAAAAATCAATGCAACAAAGAGTTGGTTTTTTGAGAAAATCAACAAGATAAACAAACCTTTATCCAAATTAACGAAAAAGCAGAGACAGAACATGCAAATTAACAAAATCAGAAACGAAATGAGGAACATAACAACAGACACAGAGGAAATCCAGACAATTTTCAGGTCATACTTTGAAAACCTGTATTCCACAAAAATTGAAAATTCAAAGGAAATGGACAAGTTTCTGGATAACTATCACTTACCAAAATTAAATCAAGAACAGACAAACAACTTAAATAGACCTATAATCCGCAATGAAATAGAAGCAGTCATGGAAAGCCTTCCAACCAAAAAAAGTCCAGGGCCAGATGGATTCAGCACAGAATTCTACCAGACATTCAAGGAAGAACTAATACCACTACTCCTCAAACTGTTCCACAAGATAGAAACAGAAGGTTTATTGCCAAACTCTTTTTATGAGGCCACAATAACTTTGGTACCCAAACCTCACAAAGACACAACTAAGAAAGAAAACTACAGACCAATATCCCTGATGAACATCAATGCAAAAATACTCAATAAAATACTGGCAAAACGAATTCAAGAATACATCAGAGAAATCATCCACCATGACCAAGTAGGCTTCATACCTGGAATGCAGGGATGGTTTAACATACGAAAATCTATCAATGTGATCCACCATATAAACAAACAGAAAAAGAAAAACCATACGATTATCTCCCTAGATGTGGAAAAAGCCTTGACAAAATTCAACACCCTTTCATGATAAAGGTCTTGGAGAGGTCAGGGATAACAGGAACGTACCTAAACATAATAAGAGCAATATACAGCAAACCAACTGCCAACATCAAACTGAATGGAGAGAAACTTAAGCCAATTCCTCTAAAATCAGGAACAAGACAAGGCTGTCCTCTCTCTCCATATCTCTTCAATATCATACTAGAAGTTCTAGCTAATGCTATAAGACAACAAAAGGAGATCAAAGGGATCCAAATTGGAAAGGAAGAAGTCAAACTGTCTCTATTTGTAGATGATATGATAGTTTACATAAGCGACCCAATAAACTCTACCAGGGAACTCCTACAGCTGATAAACACCTTCAGCAAACTAGCAGGATACAAGATAAACTCAATAAAATCAGTAGCCCTACTTTTTTCAGATGACAAAGAGGCAGAGAAAGAAATCAGAGAAACATCACCCTTTACAATAGCAACAAGCAACATAAAGTATCTTGGTGTAACGCTTACCAAACAAGTAAAAGACCTATATAATAAGAATTTTGTGACTCTAAAGAAATTAAAGAAGATACCAGAAAATGGAAAGATATCCCAGGCTCTTGGTTAGGTAGGATTAACATAGTAAAAATGGCAATCTTACCAAAAGCAATCTACAGATTCAATGCAATACCCATTAAAATCCCACCACAATACTTCACCGACCTTGAAAGGATAATAATCAACTTTATATGGCAAAACAAAAAACCCAGGATAGCAAAAACAACCATGTACAATAAAAGAACTTCAGGAGGCATCACCATTCCTGACTTTAAGCTCTACTACAGAGCTATAGTTCTGAAAACAGCCTGGTATTGGCATAAAAATAGACAGGTAGAATAATGGAATCGAATTGAAAATCCTGATATTAATCCACGCACCTATGAACACCTGATTTTCGACAAAACAGCTAAAATTAAACAATGGGGCGAGGACAGCATCTTCAACAAATGGTGCTGGCACAATTGGATGAGGGTGTGTAGAAGACTGCAGATAGTCCCATGTCTGTCGCCATGCACAAAACTCAAGTCCAAATGGATCAAAGACCTCAACATCAATCCAGCCACATTGAACCTCTTAGAAGAGAAAGTAGGAGGTACCCTTGAACACATTGGTATAGGAGACTGCTTCTTGAATATAACTCCAGGGGCACAGACACTGAAAGAAACAATTAATAAATGGGACCTCTTCAAACTTAGAAGCTTCTGTAAGGCAAAGGACACAGTCAACAAGACCAAACAGCAGCCCACAGACTGAGAAAAGATTTTCACCAATCCTATATCCGACAAAGGGCTGATCTCAAAAATATACAAAGAACTCAAGAAAATAATCAACAAAACACCAAATAACCCTATTAAAAAATGGGGTACAGAATTGAAGAAAGAATTCTCAATGGAGGAAATCAAAAAGGCTGAAAGACACTTAAGAAAATGCTCCACAACCTTAGCTATCAGGGAAATGCAAAACAAAACAACTTTGAGATACCATCTTACCCCTGCCAGAATAGCTAAAATTAGAAACACCAGTGATGACTTATGTTGGAGAGGATGTGGAGAAATGGGAACACTCTTCCACTGCTGGTGGGAGTGCAAACTCATACAGCCATTTTGTAGATCAGTATGGCGGTTCCTCAGGAAAATGGAAATTAGTTTACCACAGGACCCGGCAATCCAACTCTTAGACATATACCCAAAGGATTCACATCCATGCAACAAAGACATCTGTTCAACTATGATCATAGCAGCACTATTTGTAATAGCAAGAACCTGGAAGCAACCTAGATGCCCCTCAATTGAAGAATGGTTAATGAAGATGTGGCACATCTACACAATGGAATACTACTCTGCAGAAAAAAATAATGGTATCTTGAAATTCGCAGGCAAGTGGATGGCACTTGAAAAAACCATCCTGAATGAGGTAACCCAGTCACAAAAAGAGGAACACAGTATGTACTCACTCATATGTGGATTTTAGACCTAGATCAAATGATCACCAGCCTATAATTCACATCACCAGTTGAACTAGGATACAAGCTGTATTCTAAGAGATTCATATAAAGTTCCTCACAGAACTGGGAAGGGGCAAGTCCCCCAGAGCTCAGGTGAAGTGGGGGAGGACAGCGAATGGAGAGAGAAGTAGGAGAAAATGAGGGGGAGGAAAGGAAAACATGTGCGACCAGGAATATTGAGCCTGGTTAGGAATAGGAGATAGGAAAGAGAGATACAGAGACAGAGACAGAGAGAGAACATAAAAAAGGTAGCCAATATTGGTTTGAAGATAAAATTGAACACAAAGAATGGTCGAGAGAACTATAAGACTGCTCCCAACAAGTTGAGCTTACGTGGAAAGGCTATCATAAATGCCCTTCCCGGAGAGTGAGATCAACAACTAACTTCTCCATGGAGCCCTCAACTAATGCCTGTTGAAACAGGATCAAACACCCATACATAAACACTGAGTCGAACTAGAAACCAGATGCACATGGAGAGGACAAGACCATGAGGCAGAAACTCATAGAGACAGCTTACCTGAACAAGGAGAAGCTAAGGACCACTAGACTGATAGCTGGGAAGCCAGCATGGGACTGACTCAGGCACCCCTGATTATGGGTCTCAGCTAGAAGGACTGAGCAGTCTAAGAGACCTCAGACAGTGGAGCCAGGATGTAGCCCTGGTTCACAAAAGAACTTTCGAACATATTCCCCATGGAGGGATAACTGCCTTAATCTAGAGACAGGAGAGAAGCCCTAGTCCTTACTTCACAGGACCTGTCAGATCTACATGACCCCAACTGGATGGCACTCCCCTACATATGGAATTGGGGTGGGAGGATGGGAGGGGAGGGTTTTTAGAGTGCATGTGAGAGGGCAGAGAGGGTAAAATGGGAGGGATGGAGGGAGGGAGGGCTAGAGGGGAGGGAGGGAGGGAGAGGGAACTGGGATCAAAATGTAAAATAATAAATTAAAAAAAAAAAACAAAAAAACGCTTTGACTCCAAAATTTAAGTTGAAGAACAAGTTACTGGGGAAAAGGATTTCTATTTTTGTTTCCACAGAAAATGAAAAGATGTGGATTCCTTCCAGACTAATGTGGTTTGATCACGCCAGACTCCCTGAAACAGAGTACAAGCTGATCGTACATTCAAAACAGCTGGACAAAACAGCCCTACAGACTACAGCCAGGATGTCTGAATCTTCTTCGAATCCCCCAAGACAGCGCCCCTTACCAGCAGGAAGTAGTTTGGAAAGAACGACGCCCAAATTCCCAAATATTGTGTATAAATGTTTGTTTTCATTTAATTGGACTTTGTTATATAAAATTAAATAAAAATAAATAAATAAATAAATAAAATATAATTGATCAATTGAAAAAAAAAACTAAAAAAAAATGCTTTGACTCAAAATTTAAGTTGAAGGACAAGTTACTGGGGGAAAGGATTTCTATTTTTGCTTCCACAGAAAATGAAAAGATGTGGATTCCTTCCGACTAATGTGGTTTGATCACGCCAGACTCCCTGAAACAGAGTACAAGCTGATCGTACATTCAAAACAGCTGGACAAAACAGCCCTACAGACTACAGCCAGGATGTCTGAATCTTCTTCAAATCACCCAAGACAGTGCCCCTTACCAGCAGGAAATAGTTTGGAAAGAACGACGCCCAAATTCCCAAATATTGTGTATAAATGTTTGTTTTCATTTAATTGGACTGTTATATAAAATTAAATAAAATTAAAAAACGAACAATAAAAAAAAGTCCTTCTAAATTTTAAACATTCAAATGCACCTTATTCCCCAAACACCTGCCACATAGTTATAGATGTAGGGTCATTATAAAGTAGTATAAAATTCCAGAATATGGTTATACACAGTTGTAGCTCATATGTGTGCACTGGGATCCTTTATAATCTGGCACTTGATCTAACACACTGTCAGGGTCTCTTCACCCCTACCTACACACAGCACATCTTTTCAGGTCCTGTGACCTCAGCCATTTAACTAATACCTCTCAAAGGAGATGACTTCCTAGAGCAGAACATTCTGTAGGTCAGATCCAGGGTCAAAATAAAGCAAAAAGACAGATGTGTAGCAATTCCACTCCTCTGCTTGAACAATGTATGTTAGTTGTTCAGAATATTATATTAGTAAAAGGTAAGGGAAAAGTTTTATTCTTCAGTAATTTCTAAGTGAAATGATTGCAGAGAGTTCAATATGGAATACTTTCTAGAATAACAAAAGCAGACTAGTTTGACAGGTTAACATGACCAAGAATGAATTATTATATCTTTGTCAATGGAGCTAGCGTATTTATTTAGCAATAAGACAAATAATTTTAAAGGGGATATTGTTCTTTTAGACTACAAATATATTTATAATTTAATTGGCTTAGTGACTCCCCAATCCAGCATGTGAACTATATTTGATGTTTAGTCATGTTGGCTTATGGAAATGATAACTTAACATATCTGTTTGTTTAAAATAATGGGAAAATCTATTTAATGAGGTCATTGCACCTTCTTGATTGAGATTATCAAAAATAAGTCTAGACTAGTGAACTAATCATCTGCTAAAAATCTGAATTTTAGAGAAATTATCGAAGTAATAGCCTACTGTTCTTAAACATTAACTCCTTGATGTGTGTAGAATTTATTCCCCAACATTAAGCAGGTCACTCACTTGTTTCAAATGCTCCTGTATTTTGGTCTCCACATCCTCAATGTGGGCAATCATTTTGCTGACGCATGGTGTAGGGATGCTGACCAAAGCACAGCTGTGTCGTCGACTTGGATAGCTGAAGTAGATGCCCTTGCTCACCTCTAAAAGGTTGCAGACAGTGGGAGAAGTCAGGTGGTAGGTGCACAACAGCAAATTTTGATGCTCAGGATATAGAAAAAATATTCTGCTATATTTTTCCTAGTACTCTAAAAATCTAATAGATAAGTCAACACTATTGAATAAAATTTCAAACTTTAAAAGTTCATATAACATAATCTCTTAGGCTAAATGAACACTATAACAAATTGAAACAAACCAGATAAGCTTAAATGGATTGAGGAGATGGCTGAGCAGCATGAGGACCTGGGTTTGGATTCCCCAGAACTCATGTAAATAATGGGTAGGCGTGACACCTGCCTGGAAGACCAGCACCTGGAAGACAGGGCTAGGGGAGCTGAAGAAGCAAGCTCCCTAGATAGACCAGCTAGAATCTGTGAGCTCTGGGTTCAAGGAGGGATCCAACCTCAAGGAATGTGTTGGAGAATGAGCAAAGAAGCAAAGAAGACGGCTGGTATCAAGCTTGGCCCTCCACACTCAAACATGCACATGTGTGTGCACACATATACTTACATACATAAAAGATGTTAATGCAATCCATAGCATTGTCAACTAAACATTGAAATAACAAATTTAAAATGACAGAAAAGGAAAGTCTACCCATTCTCAAAACAAATCCCCAAATCACTTTTAAAGATGACCCCAGAATACATTTTTCATTTGTCCTTCACAGAGATCTCACATCTGCCTTTGAAATTAATGCCCCTCCCCTTGCAGCGAAGAAGTTCCTCCTGGAACCTAGCATGAGTTACTCCCATGGGAAAAATAACTAAATAAATAAATAATAACAGCAGGTCCCTTTCCTCATAATAACCTCATTTCTAGCTTCCATTTTGGAAAATTGGATTCTCATGTAAAGAATGATTGATGTTCTCACTGCATCATTCAAGCTACTCATCATAAAATCCTCTCGTCCTTTCATGCTTCAGTGATTCTAAGTCTGCTGTGTTCCAAAAGGACTGAAGGTTGCTGAAATGCAGCAAAGATGTCCATAAAACTCCACCAAAGTGCTTACTTGAAGTCTTGTCACTCTGAGGATTCCACAGGATGCATGATAGTAACAGTCACTAATCATGCACAGTAGACACATGATGCACTGTAATTTCAATGAGATCATTGTGGTGTCCCCATATCAGGTCACCTTGAGAAACAATGAATTAATACCTATGCTGTTGTCTTTTGGAGCTTTACTTATTCTCAATATCTTTGCTTCATCTGACGTCTTTGCAATGGATTTCATTGTGACTTTTCATATATTATTGCATTAAATTTGTATTCACTTTCCTCTTAACCTCTGTTGTGCACCCTTTCATTTTTTACTGGTCTTCTTTCTATCCACACACACACACACACACACACACACACACTTATATACACAGCATAAAGTATAAGAGAAGCATGTGATATTAATCCTCTAAATCTCTTCAATGAAATCTTATAATATCCTCTTTCCGTTAATGCAAACTCTATAAAAAAGACACATCTGTTAACTTTATATATATGTGTGTGTGTGTGTGTGTGTGTGTGTGTGTGCGCGCGCGTGCGCGCGCGTGTGTGTGCGTGCGTGCGTGTGTATTCATTATATGCAGTGTGTTTGATTATATATGAATATTTCTAACACTCACTGGAAGTTTTATAATTCACATTGGCTAACAGTTTGGAGCCTAGAAAGTATAATGTAGATATGAAGCCAAGCTAACCACTTCATTTAATATTCACATCTATCTCATGAAATAAGATTGCTGTCTTAACTTCATAGACAATTCAAACTTAAAGAAGATGCATGATTTCAGGCCAGAGAGGTGGTAAATGGTAGAGCTAAGTTTAAACTTCATCCCCCTACTTACAAACTACACAGTGAGGGATGTTTATAGTATTTAAATTGTAATAATATAAAGGGAAAGAATCATAAATTATATTTTTCTGAACATTTCACACATTTCTTATATTGCTTGTTCTTGAATATTTGGATTTTTTTATGGTTATTAGTGCCGCTATTCTGGTATGTTTTAGTTGGCTTTGAGTACACTCTGAACATAAATACTCTGTGTTTATTTTTTTGTGTGGTATGGACCTTTGTTTCTTTTTAACTCATACACAGACACATATGTTCATCTCTATCATAGTCAAAGGACCAAAGATCAAGCTGATAAAATTGAAAAGGACATATTACTCTCCTATTCAAACATTTTATTAAATACATACTGCCCTTCCTAGATGTGAGGAGGTTCGATAGACAGGAAGCAGGCAGTTGCTATTATAGTCAAAACACTTGATTTGCTTTATTTATTGTCATGCAAATGAGGATCATAACAACTCATTCCAAGTACTTCTTGACTTTGCCATGCTCAACCTCATTTTGTGAATATTAATCAATTTCTTTAACATCCTAATGAAGTGGGATTAATATTTCAATGCAGCAAGTAAGAGGAATGAAAGAGTATGACATTAAATTGTTGCAAAAATTTAAAGACATGATATCATATACAGGACAGGATAGATCCAGAATTTGATTCTTATGGCTGTTTTTAATCTAATGTGGGCACGATGGACTTAAATATTTTTACTTCCTTTGTATTTGCTAGTGTTTAATAGACACCTTGCTGCAATCCAAGGATCTCTGAGCTACATACAGGTCTATGTGCACCTGTTTTCTCTGCCTTCATGTTAGAAACTAGCCAGTCTCCAGATGTCAGCTCTTTCAATAGTGAATAAATTTGTCTGGTAAGATTTTTTCCGCCTAATATTCATAAGATAAATTCATAAATTTAATTCGGTATAAATGGATGTATCTCCATCTCATGCAGACTATGGAGATTTAGTAAAGATTCTGGGGAAGTAAACTCAGGTCATGTTCTCACTGATTATAATCATGCGCCAACTCTGTTTATTGTCTGTATTGAGACACATTTTTAATATGTACTCCTCCCTACAGTGAATTTACAATGATCCTCCAGCCTCAACTCCCTGTCTTTAATTATAGGCATACCCACCTTTCCTGGCCCCTAACTCTAATTTTCTTGCTCAGAATCACTGTTCAAGGGATGAGATTTCCCTGCCATTAATCAGACTGAGGTGGTATGGTCCCCTGCAACAGGAAAGTTCCATCAGAGATAAGACCTGACTGTGGGCAAATGAAACAGAAGCCCCCTCTTCAAGCTCTGTGAACTTGATCCTCACATAGTTTATTCGCCCCATTTCTGATAAGTTGACATTTTTTTTTAACTTTTTTCCTTTTTTATTTAAATTTGAAACAAGAACGTTTTACATGTCAATCCCAGTTCCCTCATCCTCCCCTCCTGCCCTACCTCCACCAAACCCCATCCCATCTCCTTTCTGCTCCCCATCATATCATGTGGAGCAGGGCCTAGGCCTTCCCCTGTGTTTGTAGAGTGAGAGATTATCCCTCTATGTGGGGTGGGCTCCCAAAGTCCACTCCTATGCTACATGACCCCAAATGGATGACATTCCCCTACATATGGAATTGGGGTGGGGGGATGGGAGGGGAGGGTGGTTAGGGTGCATGTTAGAGGGCAGAGAGGGTAAAAGGGAGGAAGGGGGGGAAGGAGGGAGGGAGGGAGGGAGGGAAGGAGGGAGGGAACTGGGATCGACATGTAAAACAATAAATAAATAAAAAAAAAATGCTTTGACTCCAAAATTTAAGTTCAAGGACAAGTTACTGGGGAAAAGGATTTCTATTTTTGTTTCCACAGAAAATGAATAGCTGTGGATTCCTTCCAGACTAATGTGGCTTGATCAAGGCAGACTGCCTGAAACAGAGTACCAGGTGATCCTACATTCAAAACTGCTGAACAAAGCAGCCTTACAGACTGGATTTCTTCATCTTCTTAGAATCCCCCATGACAGTGCCCCTTACCAGCAGGAAGTAGTTTGGAAAGAACGATGCCCCAATTCCCAAATATTGTCTATAAATGTTTGTTTTCATTAAAATGGACTTGGTTATATAAAATAAATGCAAAAAAACAGCTCTCTTCTTATCTTTTAATATGTATTTTAATGCCTAAAGACCACATAAACTGGATTTTTTAAAAAAAAATGAAGATACTTAATTTTGATGGTATTTACTTGGTGTCTGATGCTATGGGTCATTTTGCTAATAATCTTTTTAGCCATTATTTCTGTCAAAGAATAAAACTCTTGTATAAAACCACAATTTTTTGTCTTGTAAGTTTATATACCTCTTGCAATGGCTCGTTCCTTAAATACCTATGAACACTAATAAAAGATGGGTAATCCCGTTGTCTTGAATTAATTGGTTCATAAATCATACATTTTGTTTTCGGGAAATCTATCCAAAACCAATTTTTGTCTAAGTCTGATTATAGGCAATAAACTCTAAACCAAGATCATAAGATTATATTCACTATGTGCATTGGACAGAAAGAAAAGACCACAATGGCAACATATTCACATTTTATTGTGTTAAACTGTGGTTCACCAGGGCAGAAGTTTCCCCATATCAAGGCTGAAATATATTCATCCTTTTACCTTGTTCATGTATTTTCACATACATTATTAAAAATCTTTTAGAGATAAAGTACAGATCCTTAATACTAGACAATGTTGAATTCTAAATTTTGTAGATTCAAGGTGTTAGTCTCCTATTTTCCTTCCAAAAGTCTCTCACCAGCCAACTAACTGTCAAGGAATGAGCATTGTTCAAATGAGGAAACATTCATTTATTTCTGAAATTATATAACAAATCACACAATCTAGGATGGTCATTAGCTTTCATAATTAGTTAAATATATAACAATATTGAATTATTTTTAACTCGTTCTAGATTAATAAGCATACATCACATTTATTTCTTAGTAAAAACACAGTATTGATGTCACCCACTTGTGAGTAAACACAAATATAGACTTTGCAATTTCCTGTATGATTTATAGTCAGCCCTTACCATCTGTATTTATTGCTTTACTTTCATAAAGACGTTCATTTTCCTTGGAGAGGTCAAATCCTGCCAACCCTTGCATTCTGGCATTTTCTTTAGAAACAAATACAAACATTTTGATGGGTTATTAATACACAATTTGAAATAAGTGATACCCTATTAAGAAGCTACATTTCAAAACTTCTTTCCTGAAAACAACTATGCCTGTTCAATCCATACTATTCACCAAAACCAACAAGTACACTTTGGGGTATTTTTAATAGAAATGTTATATTATTAAAAAAATAAATAGTTTTGGATGTGAATGAAATTTCTACATCAAGAAACTGTGAAGTTAAATCACCTTTGGAAAGGGGAAATGTAGAGTAGGGAAACCTTATATGTCACTTTAGAATCTCTGACATATTTAAAAATTCTCATGGACAATAACATGTAATTTTAAGAGCATATTATAAAATTAAATACATTTACAATATAAGCAAATTCAATATCTAGGTTTTTATTCATGGCAACTAGATTATCATCTCAGTCACATAATGTAAGCAAGAGGTGGAGAGATAACCACAAGACAAACAAATAGAACAAATTCTAAGCATTGATAAAGAACAAGTGTGTTTATCTCAAAACTATTGAATCTAGGGACTATGCTGAAGAAAGGAAACAATAGAAATCACTATGGTAATTTTATGATTTCATAGACAGGAAAGTGAAGAAAAAAATATCTAAGCAAGCTTTGATACACACTTGTAATCCCAGCATTTGGAGACCAGAGGGAGGTGAACCATTAGCCCAAGAAAAAGATGGACTTCATCAGCTATTTCACATTTCACCTCAGTGCCCATGGCTTTGAGAAAGGGGAGAGAGGAGGTAGGTGAACAAAGATGTGAAGCTGAAGAAAGAAAGTATGACTGGAGTTTGGAATAACTGGTGGCTGCTCTATATTGTGGAGCCCAAGCAGTGGACCCTGGCTTACTTATTTGCATCTAGATATGACATAAAGGAGGAGAAGGAGAAAAAGCAGCAGCTACATACTGGGACCTGGTCTCAAAAACTCAAAGGGGAGATAAAGAAAGACAAAACTTGACTATAATGTTAGATACCAAAATAAAAATTGCTTATTGAGGGAAAGAAATCTCGAATAGTGGTTGAAATAATTTTTATATGGACTGGAATAATGGGTTCATGCATGTATATGGTTACCAAAGTGCATTCAATTATAAATATAAGATTAGTTTCACTGTTTAGATTACAAAATAAAATTTCATTATAATATGCTAATATGCATCAGTAGTTTATGATGTTTCTCTTATTAATCTTTACTGACAATGCATATTATAAGGTTCACTTATGTATAATAAGATGTAATGAAGCTAAATTTAGACTAAATATGCCAAATCTACATAAAATGATTTAACACCTCCTAAAGTTATGTGGCAGTATTCACCAAAAAAATAGCATAATTGACACAGGTCGTTTAAGTTAATTCCAAAGGAATTACCAAGCAATGACAGAAATGATGCTGAAAACAATTATTTAAAAACAAACTTGAGCTTGGGGTTGGAGAGACAGCTGGGCAGTTAAAAGCACTGGCTGCTCTTGCAGAGAACCAGGGTTTGGTTTCCAGCACCCACGTGATGATCAACGACCAACTCCAACTCCAGTCCAATGGCATCAAATGCCCACAGGCAAGGAACACGTGTGTTACATCTACACACTTGCAAGTAAACATCTACACACATAAAAAATAAATAAAATCTATACAAATCTATAAGAAGTTTAAAAATATTTTGAGTCATCCCATGATTAACTGTTGTCAATAATTAAGGAAACAGTATTTTAATAATAATAAAGTATAGTAAAATGATGTGTGCGTGTGTGTGTGTGTGTGTGTGTGTGTTACAGGTAACACTAAAGTTATTAAAGTTTGTAATAATGAAGTTTAATAAAATAAACACTTCATATTAGTAAAACTAATATATATCTTATTATAATGGGAAATTTAAATAAATAATGTAAGGGAAGCTTTTAAGTCTAAAATGTATAAGTTCTCAACAAATATATGACATCTCATCATAGTCATTTTTAGAGAACTTTCATATTGATTTAGAACACTACTAATGATATAGCTAGTTGTAATGCATATAAGTACACATTATACAAAATAACAAAGGAAATAAAAGAAATGACCATATACTATCAATAATGATGATGCTTTTTAAAAGAAATGACACTCACTTATTAAATATTATAAACATAAAGATACCTGCAATATTTTTCATATTTACAATTTTTAAAAGACAACAAATAAATGACAAGAAAAATAGAGATGGAAATTATTAAATTGTGATACCTGCAATTGTTAATGCCCTCGCTTTGTCTCTGAGAGCCTTTATTTCAAGACATGTTTTACCTATGAAATGTAAAACAAAATAAATTATTAGTTTTAAGTGTCTCAATTACTACACTCTGGAGTACCATTGGTAGGGGTAAAGGGGAGAAAAATGTACTAGAAAATTGAAATCTAGGCTAAAGGTTTGAGAGAGATGTGATTCACCACCATGGTCTGTCCTGAGTGGACAGGAGTATTGGGCAAAGTGGATCCTGCAAAGGATCAAGAAGCATAGAGGGCTCAAACTGCTCTAATGACCTCCTCCTTTTCCCCCTTTAACTCCACATAAGTTCCAAGTAGGGGATGGTGCTGCTCATACTGACTGCAGAGCTTCTCTCTGGAAATGCCTTCAGACACACCCAGTAAGTGTTTACTCATCTCCCAGGCACTCCTCAGGCAATAAACCTGAGAGTTAACATTCACCATCACATGGAACCAAGATTCAGAGCGTATCAACATGTAGTGTTTATGGATGAACTTCTCAAACACTAAAATTAAAAAAAAAAAAAAGATTCACCATCATTCTGAACCAATACATATATCCAAAAAAACTGCCCTTCAATCTGTATGCAACAGGGACATCCTGTGAGCCATTGAGAGCTGTGACAAAGCACTTCTGTCACCCCTTCCTACTGAAGGCAGTAGGATATGGTCATTATGCAGTGACACTCGCTGGATATTTCGACACAAACATTGCCAAATAAGTTTTCAATCTGTTAACTTTTGGACAACCTGTAAATCATGATCATGCGAAAGTTAAACAGAGTAAGTTTATGTGCTTGTGTTCTAACAGGCACATTCATCTGTACAACTATAAAAAGGATGGGGTTAGTCACGAATGTGAAAAGCATACATTAAATAAATATACCCTGTAAGTCGGCCTTGTAACAAAATGGTTATTTCTCTATGTTAGGTGTTAAAAAGATGCGACAGAAAGGGGAGAAAGGCTCCCAGGCTAGTGTTGGTATTTCTTATAATGTGGGTCAAACACACAACTTCTAAGTACGAATCCATTACTATTAGAGCAATTAATGTAGTGACAACCCCAACACTAGTACAGACAGAAAATAATCACTGCTTCACATGTATGTGTATATTTATGTGTATTTAAATATAAAATATAATGAAAACAGAACACATTAGACTGTTTTATAAATACGCTCAAATCGCAAGCAGTGGATTTTCTACTTAAATAATAAAATGAAATCCAACCATAGGTTTTATAGAGCATATAAAATGACTCAGTGAGTTTATTAAATTGACTGATAAGAGAATATATACTCAACAAATTAAATATATAGATTATGATTTTAGTATCTGACAATATAAAAATTGATAAATTTTTATAATATTGTACCATATAAAATAATAATAAATAAGATAACATTGCTATATTATTATATAAAATAAAATGATTGTGCGACTAACATGGTCTAACAAGATAGAGGCAACTATGAGGGATGAAAGAAATATCAGAAAGGGAGCTAACAATTGGAAAGTAAGCAAACATGCTTCATCTAATCAGGATGCCATGGACAAGAATCACTAAGGATGCACACTGGATTTCAGTCACATGATCTATGACACAGATCTGACAGATAATAACTACAATATTTCAAAGCAAAAAGAATGACTCCACTTCCAATTGCATCTAAAAGATTAGTGCATTTCTACATCCATAGACTCCCTTGGTAGAGGTTCTGGCACAGGAGACCAGGAAGAATCTGAAATCACCTCACACACATCTTAGAACATATCATTTAGTATTTGCCAGCAGGAGGCATCTTAAATGAGGAAGCTTATGACTGAATATTTCTAACTGCTAGATTCAAAACATCATTGAACCTCTGTACTCACAAGGTATATCTTCATAGAAAACATCATCCTGACGATAAAGCCAATAGAAATTGACTGGCAACTTCCTACAGGACCCCATTTAGTGTATTGATTTACTTTTCTTCCTTTTCACTTTCTTTTCATTTTTTTTTCTTCAGGGCTGGAGGCCAAGCTCAAGGCCAAACTTCACATGGTAAGCACGTTCCGTTTTACGTATACCCCCAGACCTGATGCAAGGATACCATGGCATTGTTTATGTAGCTCATTGTGTCACTCACCAGTAAATGTCACAGAGAAAAGAGAGGAGAAAACACAGGCCTTGAGTTTTCCCAAATAAATATGCTCCATTGTGTTTTTCCTCTTCCCTCATCACTGCAAGTTTTGGTTTTGTAAACTCACAACATATCTATGAAGTTGCTGTGTTCAGTGAGTCACCAGGTTCTGCTTACTCATCTGCAAAGAAAAGTCATTTGAGAAGGAAATCACCTGTCTCGGCCGTGTCCATCTTCCTTCTATAATGAGCTAGATCTTTCTCATTTTCTGGTGTGACTTTTTGGCAGTACTTTCAAACCTGATTACAAAGAAAAGTATTTTAATATTGTGAATTAAATTAGTCTATATTCCAATAGTCATTTGCTAAAACATTACTAGTGCTGGAGTACAATTATAATACTATAGAACATATTAGTTAGTTACAAAATTAATGCCAAATTATGCTGAAGTATAAAAAAATTAGGTAACCTATGGAGCAGGTTATCCAGTTCTAAATGATCATCCCTAAGTACATATTTATACAATCAATGTTAATTTGGATTAGTTAACAATTTGGATCCAGCAAATTGTATTTTTTATATAAATAAAATATCAGGAAGACATCATCAGAAGCTTGACATTTGACACTAATAGAAGAGCAAAATATGCCTATCAGAATGGCTAAAATAAAACACTAGCTTTTAGCAAAGATGTAGAGAAACTTGGTCACTGGTCATTGTTGCCAGTTTGTAAAACAGTACAGCTACTCTATAAAATAGTTTTCAGTTCCCTTTAACAGTAGCAGCAAAGAACTTATCAAATAGAATCAACAATTGTGCTCTTGAACATTTATCCAAGAAAGACAATGTTTTTGCTCACACATATACTAGAATATTCTTTTTAGCTTTATCTCTAACAATCAAAACCTGAAATATCCTTCAGTGCCTAAACTGGCACTGGCATCTGGATACAATTCAAAAGAGAGGAAGTGGCAAAACAGACTATTTAAACTATTATTGTAGGCAAACATTTGGATGAACTGTGTGCTTTCATTTATACACATGAAATAACAAAATTAGTCACAAAGAACAAATTAGTGATTGCTCAAGGATCAGAGATAGCTTATATGAAGGGATGGGATAGTACAATTAAGGCTATTGACTGTGGTCATGATTACCCAGGGCTCCACATAGAACAAGATATTGATGTGTTGATGTGTAAGAGGACACATCTTGTTTGGCACTTCTTTGAAATCTTTTGTGAACATTTTAATTCAAAATGAAGTAATTATTATGAAGTCATAAAATAAAAGTCAAAAATTTTGATAACTCAAAAGTTGCTGTCTGCAGAAATGAAGAAATACACTAAATGGCCCATGTAAAAAGGATGCATCCCACTGGGGCTGAGGATATAACCCAAATGGTAGAGGGGTAGCCTGGTATGCACAGAGCTCAAGGTTCCAACTCTAGTGGGGAATAACAGGTGAAATGGCACACACCCATTATTCTAATACTTAGATGATAAATGCAGCTGAGCAGGAGGTTAAGGTCATCCTCATGTCTATAGCAAGTTTAAGACTAGCCTGGGATACATGAATATCTCAAAAAAGAAAATTAAAGCTTATACATCATGATGAAATTTAGAAAACATTGTGTCCAAAGATTATGTGTGTGTGTGTGTGTGTGTGTGTGTGTGTGTGTATAACAGTGTGTATTTCTGTGTGTGTGTATGTGAGTACGCACATGTGCATGTGTGTGTGCTTGTGTGTGTGTGTGTGTGTGTGTGTGTGTGTGTGTGTATACTTCAAGGATGCTCTCAGAAGTCCTCCTAGTGAAAGTGTCATCTGACCGTAATGAACTGAGATCTGGAATGTGCCAGTTGCAGGGAAGAAATTCCCTGGCATGGTTAATGAAAATCAAGAATATGTTCAAAATGTCCCAGAAATTGAAATGCCAAGTAATTATTAATTCTAGAACCAGTTCTAATCAAAAGTATAAATTAAAAGTATCTATTACATTTTATCTGAAATTTTACAAAAAGTCTCCTATCATCCTGCCCCTCAGGCTTTAGTCATTACAGAGACAAGACAGCTTGGGGTCTTGCCAGGAAGCTGAAAATCTTATATCCTTCACAATACTTGATAAAAAAAATCTCTTGTATTTATCTTTTCACTCCATAATACAGCCAGCTAAGATTGAAAACATACTGAAGCTCATCATTCAAACAAAAATATGTGAAATATTCTGAAGTTATCTAATGTCCTCTAGCATGTTGAGTACAGAGAATAATAGCAAGTTCAGATGGCCAATAATGACAGTAGGCAGAAAATGGAGTCTTAACCCTGGCCACAGATTTGGGTCCTCATGGAAGTATAACAAACAGACCATAATCGTGATTATACTAATCCAAGGGTTTCTTCTCCAGTTGTGGAGGAGAGGAACCTAGTGTAGTGAAATCAAAACAAACTAAAGACAAAGCAAGAAGCATAGTAGGCTGCATTTACAGAAGAGGAAATTGGAGCTGGGGAGACACTTAGTTGGTTAGAGTGCTTGCTGAGAGAGTATAAGAAACTGAATTCAGATCCCCATTAGGGAATAAATAGAGATGTGCTTTCCTGCTCTTCCATAGTACTAGAGCTCAGTTTCCAGTATGCACATCAGGTCCCTAACACCAACTTGGAATTCTAGCTTGAGGGGATCTAATGTACCATTCTGGCCTCCAACGATACTGTATTCAGCAAAAACTCACAATCAGTTACACACAAACACACACACACACACACACACACACACACACACAGAAAACATAATGAGAGCTAGCACTTGCCCATGAATGAGGGAAATATTGACACCAGTGCCCTCAGAATTACCTAGGCCTAAGCCTCACATCTCAGCTGTTTTCATTTTCATTCTACGTGTTAGACCTTTGCATGTGTTGGAAAGTGTGACTGCTGACATTTTGAGTTTTGTGTTGAATAGCTTTGGCCTTCAAAAGTAGCTATCTTTCTCTGCTGTGATTCCCATGGCCCTCAGAGGATTGTAATTAGTCCTATTGGGACAGGTATCTAAAATCTGATCCAATCAGTAAACTGTTGCCAGGAAGCTAGGTTGTTAGCTGAAGTCTGAGTCTATTCTCAATCTCTGACCACACAGTTTTGGCTAGGATAAGGTTTATGTCTACTGACAGGTGCAGACAGTAGGGTTGGTGAGCAGAGGGGGAAGAATTTGAGCTGCCATATCTGTAGGCTGTGTTCCAAAAATGGCAGTCCGAGTGAGGAAGCCATAAGGAGGCACATTTTGTATTTTGCCAGCCAGGAAGAGATTATTTTGACAACTTTAAGCTTTTTTAAAAATTTATTAATAATGAACAAA